CCAGGCTCCAGGCGGTGGGAGGGTTTGAGCACAGGCCACTGGAGGAATTGGGGTGATGAGTTGCAGGCGCAGGAGGCTGGGCTGGGGCTGAGGATGCGGTCTGAGGTCCAGCCCCATCAGAGCTGAGGGCTGCTCACATGACCTTCAGAGAGTACAGAAGCAGGATGTGTTCTTGAGTGTCCCTGGAGGGTGTTGGGGCCACACTCTGTCTCCTGTGTAGGCGGGGAGACCCAGGCTCTGAGAGATGGAGACAGGTGCTTGGAGAGTCCATTCCTGTGTGACCCCGGTCCTCAGTTTCCCTATCTGCGCCCTCAGCGGTGGGGACTGGGTGAACTCTGGCCCCTTTCAGCCTTCACTCCGGCGAGATTCTCCGAGTAAAGGTGTGAAATAGACACCACCCCACCTTCCTAGCTGCGGGATCTTGGGTAATGGTCCTGGTCTTCAGATAATCACGTACCTAGAGGGGACCGTGAGGTTGTTTGAGTTGTGCATGGGAAGCTCCTAGAAAGGGTGCCCGGCACGTGTGCGTGCTCGGTCCATGCTAGCTGCTCCGTGGGGTTACTACCCTCCTCCTCTGTCATCGTCTGCGGGGCCTGCTGCAGAGGCTGCTGTGGACAGACAGCCCTCAGAGGAGCTGGCTCTCTGAGACTGCTGTCCCCAGGGTGTCTGCAGGGTGGGGAGGGAGAGGCTGCAGGGGGCGAGAGCAGGTCCCCCCCCCCCCCCCCCCGCCCCGTGTGGTTGGGATACAGCTGGCGCTTGGGCTGGGCCCCAAGCTCTTTCTGGAGGTGGAGAAGCTGGAGCAGTCCATCCGTATCCTCCACGTGGCGGCTGGCTCTTTGGGTGAGAGCCATGTGTGAGAGCAAGCAGCCTGGGAGGCGGGGACCCCGAGGCCCGGCTCCCTGGAACCAGAGCTCAAGGAGGGAATAGAACTGAAGTGGCCATGAGGCCTGGGGAAGAGATGGCCTTGGAGACAGTGGAGAGAATGACTAGGGTTTTAGGAGGAGCGGGGGAGGGGGATTGGGTGACGTCTGAGCCTCTGTGTCCTCATCTGCACAGTGGGGACAATCTTCAGGGGAAGGCTAAGTGGTACTTTCTCTCTTACCTGTATGCGAAGGCCTAACACGGTGAGCAGCACCTAGAAAGTGACCAATAATCATGCCTCCTCTCCCTTCTCTTCTCCAGCATCTTAAGGATGAAAAGCTGGAAGTTTCACGTCAGGGTGGACAGGGGTGGCCAGGGTGATTCAGGCCGCCTTCATTTCTCTCTGTGCTCTGGGCCTTCATTTCCTCGCCTGTAAAATGGGGCGTGAGTTTGCATCACAGGCTGCAGCGTGAGCGCCTCTGCTCAGTGGCGGGCCCGGTGTGAGAGCCGGTAAAGGCTCACAGGACACAGTGGGGACCAGTCCCTGGCCCCTAGGAGCCCCGAGGAGGCCTGTTCCCTTCTCAGGGCCAGTGGCCTCCCGGCTGCCTGCCTTTGCTTATGCAGGTGCCTCTGCCCCAAACACCCATCCTTACTGAAACCTTATTCCTGTGGGCAGATCTAGGGCAGGGGAGGGGACTGTGCCCGGGACACGGGTGTGGAAATGTAAGCGACCACATCTCGGGTTGGCTGCGAGCTTCCTCCTGGGCAGCACTGCAGCGAATGCGGGGCGTCCGGGGCCCCTTAAGCAGCACATCACTGGTGTCCTTCCGAAACCCCAGGCAGCAGAGCAGCTGAAGGGCAAAGCTTTTTTGCACCGTCAACGCTGGCACCGGCAGAGCCAGCTTTTCCCACCTCGGCTGGGAGGTGCGGCGGTGTGGGCAGCGGATTTGGTCTGGCAGGCCAGCTGCCGTGGACACGCGGGGGTCTGTCCTAGGTCTTCTGGGAGCAGGCCTGCCGCCTGCCTACCCGGCCCGGCTTTGGAAATGAAAAGGCCCGTGAAATCATTGCTGCAATGCTCATCTGTCGGGACGCAGCTTAGAAACACCAGTGAGACTCAGGGCAGCTCAAAGTGCTGTCCAGGGTGTGTATGTGTGTGTGTGTGTGTGTGTGTGTGTGTGTGTGTGTGTGTGTGAAGCTCATTAGGAATGCAGCTGTCCTCGCCCCACCCAGACCTGCCTGAGTCCAGGCAAGACCCCCAAGGCATTGCCTTGCAAAACACAGCTGGAGACTTGCTGCTTTAGAGCAGGGGTGGCGGTGGCGCTTGAGTCCTGTCCCTGCCCACTAGCTGTGTGACCTTAGACACATTACCTCACCTCTCTGAATTCCAGCTCCTGCATCCACAGGATGGATTTAGGGAAAAATCCTCTCCCCAAGGAGGTTAAGGATAATTCACATGAAAGCCCGTGAGCTGTGTGCGAGGTGCTGAGCTCGGGGTGTGGGACACAGACCGTGCTGGCCCGTCAGTGGTTGTGGCTCCTGCTGTGGTCTGGAGACCCAAAGGCGTGGCTCGTGTTCATGCTCAGGGTTCACTCGGGGCATGTCTCTTTCCTTCTCTGGGCCTCGGTTTCCCCTTCTGTACAACGGGTCTGCTGACCCCACATCAAAAGGTTGCTCGCAAGGAAAGTGAGAGGGGCCAGGGCTCATCTCCAGGAGCCCATCTGGGATGTGGGTGCATGTGGGTGCGGGGCCCCTGGGTGCCCACACCTTCGCCCCTCGCCGCTCCCTTCTCTGGTGCTCCTGCTGCTGCTGCAGAAGGCATCCTACAGCCCTTTCCTGCACCTGCTCTGCTCGGCGGCCTGGAATGGAGTCCCCTGCCCCGCTCAGAGCAGCAGGGCCAGGAGAGACGATTCAGGGCAGACCTGGGTTCTGGGCCCTGGCCTCCCTTGAGGGAACCCCCCCTCCAAGCCCCATGCTGCTGGGCAGGTTTCGGGCAGCCTGGGAGCTTCTCCCCACCTGGAGTCCTACTTCCCAGGGCAGGCCTGGGGCTGGACTCCTGGCCTTGCCCCTGACATCCCAGGTGACCTCAGGTAAATTCCCTGTATGCTCTGGATCTCAGTTTCCTTATCTGTAGAGTGGGGGTGCTCAGTGAGATGATCGGGTCGGGGTTCGACCCTTGGGTCCTCTCACTGACCGTCCTTAGCTTCCTCTGTGTCCTTCGTTCCTGGCAGGAGCCCCAACCCCCTGCCTGCCTGCTACCAGACCCTGGAGCCCACGGCAGATCTAGGCCTGGCTGCCAAAGCCAGGGGAGCTGGTATAGACCAGAGGAAACGAGGCAGTAGGGGGGTGTGTGGGGCAGAGGAGGATTTTTCCTCTGTGTGTGCAAACAGTATCGGTTTTCTCTTGTTTCCAAAAGCCAGTGACGTAACGCACCCTTCACCCATTCCTCCCTTCTGGCCTATTTTTAGCTGGCCCCGACAGCATCCTAAAAGGCTTCCAGACTTGCCTGCTCTGAGGCCATGTAGGGAGGCGGCCCTAGGGTGAGGAGAGAGAGAAGCTCATCTCTCTGTCTCAGGATGCAGGGAGGGAACGAACCTGCCCCAGGCTTCCTCTGGGGAGGGAGGGGAGCTGGGTGGGGAGCCCAGGGAGGGCTCTGATGGATCCTGGGTCTGCGGGGAGCCTGGCAGGGTTGCAAGTGCTCAGTCTGGAGCCTCCAGCCTGGGTTTGAGTCCTGGCTCCACCTGTCCCCACCCTGACCTTGGGCCCCTGACTTCATGCCTTGCTTTCTGCATCTGTGACATGGGCTAACAGCATAGCTGTGCTGGAGGGTTAGGAGGATTGAATTAAGTCAAGCAAAACGGTGCCTGGTATTGTTACGGTGATTATGATTATTTTTTTTTTAAAGACATTTATTTGAAAGAGAGAGAGAGAGAGAAGGGCACCCAGGTGGTTCAGTCAGTTAAGTGTTAAGCGTCTGCCTTCAGCTCAGGTCATCTCCCGGGGTCCTGGGATCAAGCTCTGCATCAGGCTCTCTACTCAGTCGGGGGCCTGCTTCTCTCTCCACTCCACCTCTGCTTGGGCACACACTCTCTCTCTCAAATAAATAAATAAAATCTTAAAAAAAAAATGAAAGAGAGAGAGAGAGAGGGAGGTGGGGATGGAGGGAAGGGGCAGAGGGAGAGAGAGAATCTCAAGCAAGCTCCCTGCTGAGTGTGGAGCTCTACGTGGGGCTCGATCTCACGACCCCAAGATTATGACCTGAGCCAAAATCAAGAGTCGGACGCTTCACTGCCTGAGCCACCCAGACAGCCCTGGTGATTGTGATTATTAACATCCCATTCTACCTCCAGTTAACACTGGGGTACACCGTGAGCTGCTGTGTGCCTCCTGCCCTTCATCCTTTCCTGTCCAGCTTTAACCAATGTGTGCTCCAATGAAGACAATACACAGAAAGCCCTGGAACAGGGCCTGGCACATAATAAGCGCTGACTAAGTGAGAGCTATATTTATTGTTTTTGTTTTAAAGTAATAAAACAGACCGGGGTTTGGATTCCAGCCCCACCCACTAAGCTAGCTGTGTGACTCTGGGTAAGACATTTAACCTCTCTCAGCCTCAGTTTGCTTATCTGTGAGACAGGGATAATAGCTGTGTGGGAGATTTCTTCGCTGATGAGGGTTGCTGTAGGACAAAAAGGCTCCAGCGATCACGATGATCAGCACAATAAAAGTTTCTTCCGTGTGGTGCAAAGAGCCCGAGCGCGGTGCCAGCTATGGCCTGGCCTCTGAGTGCCAGGCTCCGTACCGTGGGATGCTGCAAGAGCCGCATTTGCACGGCACTTTACAGTTGGTGTGAAGGGGCAGTGGCGGTCCCCCCTGCTGCCTTCATCTCCCCGTGGTGCAGTGCTCATGCCTGGAATCCGGCACTTGGCTCTACCACCTGATTATATGGTTATGTGTCAGCCTGGCTGTCCTGGCTGTCCCCCTCCCCTAAACCGGGAGCTCCTGCAGGGCAGGCAGGGATCGATTCACTGCTGCACCTGGCTTGCCTAGCCTGGGGACAGGCCCAGGGTGGGCGCTGGCATTGTGTCTGAGGGGTACGGGGAGGCCACCCTCTCACCACCTGTCCTTCTTGGTTCTTGCAGGTGGGAGGAGGAGCTTGCCAAGCGCATGAACCTGCAGACCATGGTGGACACGCTGCAGGAGGTGAGCACCTCAGAGGTCCCGACCAAGAGGGGCTTGTGGGAACCACATGGGTAAGGGGCACAGTCTCCACAGGGCAAAGTCAGAGGCCACTCCCAGGTCAGCCTCTGCACTGTGCAGCCTCCTGCTGCTTCAGTCCCTCCTCCATGGAGCCACGAGGCCTCTTCCTTGTCCCCTGCTTCGGACCTAGGAAGGGGCTGGCACAGCGTTGCAAAAATGCTCAGGGACGGGAGTTGGGAAGCCTGGGTCCGAGTTCCAGTGCTGACCCCTGCGTGCTGGGTGATGGTCCCCTGACTCTTTCCCACCCTCTATTATTCCCCACCAAGTTCAGGACTGGATGGTCTCTGAGCTGCCCTACCCCCAGCTTGCAGGACCCGACTTGGGGTGGAACACCTTGGAGAGGGTGGGGGGGCCTCTCACCTGGGTGGGTGAGAACATCCTCTTGGGGTCCTGGCTCAGGAGCTCTGTGTCTGGGCTCCGCTTCCCACGCACCGGGTACCCTGGGCAGCAAGCTTTACCTTCTCGGCCTCTGAATAGCGACCCCACGAGAAGGCAAAGGAAAGTTCTTCCAAACATTTAAAAAAATTGCTTTGCAATATTTAAGGCACTGATCTTCTAAGAGATAGAATAAAATAATATCAATATGTAGAAGGAAAAGGATGAATGTCTGTCCCCCCTCTTTGTTTTATAACAGAAGTTTTAAATTTACAAACATGACACGTTCACGGTCAAATATTTGGAAAATTCAGAAAAGTACAGAGAAGAAACTAAAACTCTCACTTCCATCTACCCCTGCATAGTCGACAAATTGCCGGGTAACCTATTGGTCTTTTCTGTGCAAAGACACCTACTGTACATGAGTGTGTCTGGTTGGGTTGACACACGTAGCGTTGCCATTTTTGAGATGGGAGATGGTCATCTATTGGCGATTTTTTTCACATGGACCAACCTCATATTTTAACCTGCTGGAATCACTTGTTCTATTAACCTGCTCTTTGTTTCTTCACATCTGCTGGGCATTTTTCCATAGAATAAATATTCCTTTGAGCAGCGTTTTAAGCTGAGTGGTGCCCTGCAGCGTACTGGGCTCAGCGGGAAGCTCGGCCGGGGTGAGGTCCCCGGCACCCGTTCCCCGGCACGCAGGGGTCTGGCCTGGTTGGACATCAGGTGTCCAGCCCCTCCTCCCCCTCAGGGAGCCTGGTCCCCTAAGCCCTCCCCCATCTCTGTCCTCCCCAGGCGGCGCAGGAGGCTGAAGCCATCCAGGAGGAGATGAACGAGAAGATCGAACGGCTCAAGGCCGAGCTGGTGGTGTTTAAGGGGCTCATGAGTGATGTAAGTGCCACCGGCCGCCGCCCCAGGCGTCATGACACCCTTCACACCCATCATGCAAAATGCTTCTTTCACTCCGAGGCTCCAGAGCTCGGCTTCTAGTTAGAGTCCTGGCTGGCTGCGTTTGCCCGTAAGGATGACGGATGCATCGGAGACCAGCCCCCACCCCCCACCCCCTTCCGCTTCCCTTGGTCTGAGTAGAGCTGCATTAATCTGCTGCTTAACCATCCCGCCCTCCCCGGGGCTCCCGACGGTCTGTTTGTGTTCGCTCCGACTCCCCAGCTCGCCACTCTCGAGGGCGGGTGCTGGCCGTGGGGCTCGCTGTCTGGGGGCGCTGGAGGGCCCGGCGGCAGGTGGAAGGAGGCCCCTAGGTCTGGGCTGTGTCCGCCCGAGAGGCTCCCCAGGCCAGCGGCCTGCAGCGGGGTTGCTTTGTAAAGTTGGGGACGGCCCATGTATTGCATCCTTTCGAAGACTGGAACCCCTCTCTCTGAGTGACTGGGTACAGGGAGCTGTCGGCCACCGGAGCCTCCTTCCTGCTGGGGACCCGCATTTCCTGCCACCTTCGAGCAGCAGGCAGCATGTAGGGGGGGCCGCCAGAAAGGAGAAGGAGCCCACTGGCGGGTGACTCGGCTTGGTGTGGCTTCTGGTCCTGAGGGCCGAGGAGCCGGGTGTGGCTGGAAGCCTCCGGGGGCCCCAGGTGGAGTTCCACCTGACTTGCCCTCATTGGGGTCCTCGGGGACCCCCCTCATCTTCGGTGATGCCCCTGTTGTCAGCCACGGGTGGAATCCTGGGGTGAGGGCACCCCCGTGGCAGGCCCTCTGTGTGGGGGACACGTGGGGCACGTGGGGTGGGAGAGAAGGGAAGGAAGTCTTTCAACAGTGGGAGTTCTTTCTTCTTCCTTTGCTCTGACAAAATGAACACCGCACTGTGTCTGTCGTGAGGATGCCTTCCAGCCCTTAGGGAGGCTGGCAAACAGGGTCTCACATGGTCCACTCAGCGCCAAGGCCTGTAGCTCCCACCACCTCTCCACCCCCCCAACCTGAGCAGCGCTGGCCCTGCCCGCCCCGCCCCCCAGAAGCTCCAGGCCCCCCTCGGACTCCGGGCTGTGCACCCCGCTGCCCAGCAGGAGCCTCGGAGCGACTCCCCGCCCCGCCCCCCAGGCTGGCTCCCGCCCTCGCTCACGTAACCCCCCTGCTGTCCTCCCTGCAGCCCATGACAGACCTGGACACAAAGATCCAAGAAAAGGCCATGAAGGTGGACATGGACATCTGTCGCCGGATCGATATCACGGCCAAGCTGTGCGATGTCGCACAGCAACGGAACTCGGAAGACGTGTCCAAGATCTTCCAGGTGAATAGGGTCACCCTGCTCACCAGCCGCCACTCCCCCCTGCCACCGCCCCCTCCCAGAGTGCCCGGCCTCCCCCTGCATGGCCAGGCGCTCTTCCCCTCACGTCCCGCCCACTCCCCTTCCCCCAGAGCTAGCCTTCGCCCCAACTCCGGCTTCCCCAGGACAACCCAGAATCAGGGACTCGCCGACTCATAGGCTCGTCAGGCTGCGTCATCCAGGCTGAGTGCTTCATCCTGTGGCCGAGGAGGACACCCGCCTGGGGGTGGGGGGGTGACATGATGGGCTGGAGGGGGGCAGACAGAGCTGGGACTGGAACTCAGGTGTCCTGACCCTCAGGGGCCGATCCACAGGCCCCGCCGGGTGCCATCGCCAAGGTTGGGAGCCGTGGCCCGGCAGTGGGAGCCCCGGAATTCCTCAGAGGAGCTGTTGGCCTCTGTTTTTCCTTCCCACTGAAGAGTGTCCCAGTACCCACCCCCGGCTCTCAGTGAGCAAGTGTGTGTCCCGGGAGAAGGCCATGGGGCAGTTGGCACCGGTGGGTCGTCCTCCAGGGAGGGCTGGGGGCTAGTCCAGCGGCCCGAAGGGCCCGTGTCATTCTCTAAAGGCTGCTTCTGGAATATCGGGTCGTGGTTTGGCTTTTGCTTGAGCCCAGGGCAGTCTAGTGTGTTGTCGCTTTGTGTGACCTTGGGCGTGGCGGGAGAGATCACGGGCTCTCCACCTCTGTGCGGTCTTGCTGCCCCTCTGCTGGGAAGCAGGGTCAACCATTCCAGGCCTTGTTTGGTTTGCTCGCATCTTGTCTGCTTGGAGTGGAGGAAGCTTGGTGAACCTCGGGCTGCCTGCCCATCGCCTTTGCATGTGAGCGAGAGGGCTCTGAAGCATGGAGCCCTCTGGGCCTCGGTGAGGGCTTCTCCATCTCTGGCTGGCTCTAAGACATCCCAGGCGACTCTGTGCCCCGGTCTGGCCCACTCCTCTCCCCAGATCATGGGGCTGCTGCTCTGGTGAAGGGCCGAGCTGAGCCGGCCCAACCACCGGGGGAGGGAAGGGTCCAGGCTGTCTATCCTCTGTCCTGCATGTGTCCCGCCTCACGCTTCCTGCTAACGCCGCCTGCTTCTTAGAGGAGCTCTGCATCTTTCCCGGCAGTGGCTGCCCCAGCCACACTCCATCCATCCCGTGGGATGCCGTCTCCCTTCCCAGCCCACCCTCCCTCCCAGCAGGGCCTCCCACTCACTCACCTCCATCTCTTCCTTTCCGGGTCAGGTGGTCCCCAAAAAGAAAGAGCGTAAGGTGGCTTCGGACGATGACATCTCCGAGCAGGACGGGGAAGTGAACCGGTTCTCGGACGACGAGGTCGGCTCCATGAACATCACAGACGAGATGAAGCGCATGTTTAACCAGCTGTGAGTATCTCTGCTGCCCTGCCCCCCCCCCCCCCCCCCCGCTTCCCGCGGCTCCACTTCTTTTCCCCAGATTGCTGGGGCTCGGGTGGCAAACCGGTGGCCTGAGCTGAAAGTCGCCTGCACATGTGCTTTCTCTGGCCAGCGTGGTGTTCTGAAAGAATGTGCGTTTATTCTCAATGTTTATAATTTGGGGAGTTTTACATTTTCAGAAGAGGCTAAAGGGTAGTGGTGGTCCTGTGGGATCGAGCCTTACACTCCCCCCAGTTGTCCTTGGGGTGGGATCGCTGATCTGGTCCACACACCAGGGCCCACCAAGCTGGCCGGGGGAGGGCCCCCGACATCCACTGAGCACCCTCTGTCTGCAGGGTGCTTTACAGATGTGATGGTCAACTGAGGACGTTGGAGCCTCACACCCCCCCCCTTTTTTTTTTTTAAAGATTTTATTTATTTATTCATTTCACACTCCTTTTGTATGTGAGGATTCTGAGACTCCCGGAAGGGAAGCCACTTGGCCAGGATGGCTCCCCTGATACAAGCAGAACTGAGGTTCAGAGCCAGGCCTGTGTGTCACCTGTGTCCTGTCACTGAGATGCTGTGGGCTAGTGGCAGAGAGGGGGGGCTGGCTGTGGTCAGTGGGGGGCTGGAGCCGCCCCGTACCAGCTCATGCATGTCCACCCACTCCAGGTTCAGTGATGGCACAGAAGTAGCTTAAAATTTGCCATAGTGGGAAGTGGGCAAGTACGTGCCCCTAGGGCTCCCCTCCCTGCCCTTCCCTTGCCAAGAGCCGGTTTATTACAACCTCACTGGAGGTAGTCGCCCGGGGCAGGGAGGCCCTGTAGCCTTGGCCTCTCTGGTGCCATAATCTCAACGTGGATCCATCTTTGACTCTAATCCACCTAGTGCCCTAAAGGTGGGTAGGGGAGGGGACAGGAGGGTGGAGCTGAGGGCCTGGAGACAAAGAGTTGGGCTGGGACAGGGTCTCTGGGACCCATATTTGTTTCCTCCTGCCCCTCTGGCTTGTTCTTGCCTGTTCTCTTGCCGGGGCCCCTTGCAGTTGGGGCACCTGAGCCCTGAGAACTCAGCTTTCCCCGAGACTCTGAGTTTCTGACAACAGGGCTATGATTGAGCTCTTGGTTGGCTCTAAGGAGCCATCACAAAGCCCCACAGAACCCCACCAGGGTGGGGATCGGGGGCTCGCCTTTCAGCAGGTGCCTCTGACATCGTACTGGGTTTAGTACAGGACACAGGTCTCCCCTGATGCTTCCTGCAGAGCTCTGAGGCTGGCTTAGCATTACAGAGACCAAAGACCACTCGGCCCAGCCCCTTCACATTCAGATGGGGAAACTGAGATTAAGAGGGATGTGCTTGGAGTTGGAGCAGAGCCCCTGACTCGCGGCTGAGTGCTTTGTCCCCCACTAGCTGTCTTTGTGCTCAGAAGACAGTCCCCCTCTGCTCTCTCTGCAAACCATCCCTGCCCTGGTCCCTTTGCTGCTGAGCCGGGAGACTCTTAGGGCCATAGGAGTCAGACCCGGACAGGGATGGGTTTGCGTGACTCTTCCTTGTGCTTGTCGTTCCCTGGAAACAGAACTGAGGTGGCCCTGTGTTTTGGGGGCTTGCTGTTGGAGCGTGACAAAGAGACTCCTGATTCCATCTTTTGATATCCCCTGTAAAAGTCGTACTCTCCTCTTTGGGCGATGAGAGGGGCTTTGGAAGAGAGCCCTTGGCTGGATCCAGAGTTTCTGAATGTGGTGCTGGGCATGCCTGAGCCCAAGGCGGGGTTGTCCACCCCACAGACCCAGGCTGGGCTTATTTGGGCGAATTAAAGGGCTTCTCTGAAGAAATTGTCCCGTTTTTAGAGAGTCACCAAGGGCTAGTTAGGCTGCCTGGGAATGGGGCGAGCTGAAAGGAACAGTCCCAAGAGCCAGGTCTGGGGACGCCACCTGCAGCACTACTGTTGTATTGTGGGGCCCAATACAAAAACGGGTGCCTGGTGTTGACCGGTTTGAACTAGGTTCAGTATCCAATCAGATCCATCAGATTTTAAAGTTACCTTGGTTTAAAATATATATAATATCTCCTCTGATTGCTCCTCCACCCTTGCAGCTCCAGCCAAGGCCATGCTGACCCCCCTGGGCAGGGCCCTGGCCCCCTCCCACCGTCCTCTCCGCTGGCTCTGCACCGGCCGAGACCCAAGCCAGAGGCTGTCCCCGGGGAGTTCCATTGAAGTCTTTGAATCATGTGCCCCGTGTCAGGGCTGTTTTGTTGTGATCAAAATCTGTTGCTTGGGCTTCAGACCAAGGAGAAGGGGAGGAATTTGCTACTCTGCCTGCGCGCAGGCCAGCTCCTGAGCCCGCCCTCCCGATCTTCCGACCCCTTCCTCTTGCCCATCTCCCTGTCCTTTCTGGCTCCCTGTTCCGCAGCTGGGGTTTTCCTTCAGATCCCAGACGCTAGAAAGGAAGTGAAGTCAGCTGTTGGGTATGTCTTGCAGCGACGGTGGACCCCAGGGGCTAATCTGGAGCCAGGCTGGGCCAGCAGCGCTTTGCTCTGCAGCGCTGGTCCCGTGCTGGCCCCAGGGCTCACGGAGCCGCCCAGAGGCTGTGCCAGGAAGCCGCTTTCAGTGGGGGACCTGGCTCCAGGTCAGCTCCAGGAAGCTTTTAACCAGAATTTCTTCTTGGGCCCTGACCCGTGGCCCCCAGCCTGACCCATCGTGGGAAGGTCAGGAGCACTGCCCTGGATGACCAGGGGGGAGTTGACGGAGAGCCCTGGGACCCACATTCTCCTCTGTGGCTGATTCAATAGATCAAATGATTTAACCCCTCAGATGTCAGCCTTCCCATCTCATCGAGTTCCCCTTCAGCTGGGGGAACCAGGGCAGCCCCAGAAACCCCTCAGTCCCAGGCAGGCCGTATAGGGCCTGTTTTGTTTATATAGTTTCAGAGACCAGGGAAGCCCTGACATCACTCAGGCTTTGAATTCAAGCCCGATTTCCAGCACGTATTGGTCTAGAAGTCCCCCTAATCCCTTCGACCTTCAGTTCCTTGCCTGTAAAATGGGAATAATCAATACCCTCATCTCATAGGGACGTTGGGAGGAGGGAATGAAATGCAGTTTAGTATATGCTTAGCAGCCAGTGCCACATGCCCAGCACATAATGGGTGTTTGGTGTGTTTTACTGGGGAGGAGAGTGCTGCAGGAGACACCTGGTTTTCTGCCCCAGGTTCTGTTACCGGCTAGCAGTGTGACTTTGGACAAGTGGGTCATTCTTTCTGAGCTGCAGCTTCCTCCCCTGTAAAATGGGAATGATATCAACCTTTCCGCGTTTGTGGAGATTATATAAATCGCCTCTTGCAAAGTAGGAGCTCCAGAAATGAGCTGTCACGTGAAAGCAGACAGCTACAAGGTTGGACTTGAGGGACACCTGGGTGGCTCAGTGGATGAGCAACTGCCCTCGGATCAGGGTGTGATCCCGGGGTCCTGGGACCCAGTCCCGCATCGGGCTCCCTGCATGGAGCCTGCTTCTCCCTCTGCCTGTGTCTCTGCTTCTCTCTCTCTGTCTCTCATGAATAAATAAGTAAAATCTTTAAAAAAAGAAAAAGAAAAAGGTTGGACATGAGAATATCGTTAGTCTCCACTGATGAAAGCCTGGTGTCTTTACAAATATATATTTTAAATGGTACAAGGAATAGGTCACTACTTTCTGCATTTTAAAAGAGTCGAACACCCCCGGAGAAGGTGCGTGTCCCCTGTGGCCAGCAGGACTTTGGGGCTGGCCGCCTTGCAGGAGCGTGCCCGTCGGGGTGGTGCCCCTTTCTTTCCCTGATCCTGGCCTCTGGAGCCCGGCTCCCAGTCAGCCCTGCCCTCCGCTGTCATCCCACAGGCGGGAGACCTTTGATTTTGACGACGACTGTGACAGCCTGACGTGGGAAGAGAATGAAGACACACTGCTGCTCTGGGAGGACTTCACCAACTGCAACCCAACCATCGACCTGCAGGGCGAGGTGAGCTCCCCACCTGGCTGCCCAGAGGCCAGCCAGCTCTCCCCTGTCCCCGCTCACTCCCGGCAGCCCGCACCACCCGGCTCATTCGTCCCCTTTGCTCTGTGTCCCCAGCAAGAGGAAAATTTGGGCAACTTGATCCATGAAACAGAATCCTTCTTCAAGACGAGGGACAAGGAGTACCAGGAAACCATTGGCCAGATCGAGGTGAGGGCGCAGGCTCCCGTGAAGTGGGGTCTCGATGGCAGTTGAGGGGGCCGGGGGCTGGCAGGGGGAGGGGGGCATCCACAAGGTCATGAGTTGGAGGCTTGCGGTTCACTGGCTGGCGTTGGGTGGGTTGTACCCCTCCTACAGCCTTGATTTTCTCAGGTTAAAAATACATATCATGGGGGTAGTGATCCCTGTCTGTCCCAGAGAGGGTTTTTTTTTTTTTCCTTCTAAGTTATTCAGTGGAGACGGTGATCCCAAATAATGAGAGAAGATGTGTGAGTGACATGGAGTGATGCTAGGCACTGAGCAAGCCTCCCTGGTACCCACATGCCCGCTGTACGTGCCTAAAGGTAGCTAGGTGCCTCCAGCCCACACAGTGGACACCGTGCGCCCCGTTAGGCAGAGGAAGAGATGAGATTGAAGGAGACCCAAGTGGCTTGCCCAGGGGCCTCCAGTTGGGGAGCGGCCTTCAAGCCTGCTGGCTCGTGCTCTAGAGCCTGTGCGCTTGCCCCCGTCCTTCACTGAGAGTGAATGCTGCAGAAGGAGCTGGCCAGCTCCTTCCCTGGGGGATGTGGCATTGGTAGAGGAGAAGAGGCAGAAAGATGACGGAGACCTGATAACTTTCCTAAGCAAGGCCTAGACAGTGGCGTGGGAATGCCAGGTGGGGCAGAATTGGCAGGCCGAGTGGAAGCTGCCCCTTTGGAGGCTCAGCAACCATCCCCCTTTCACTGGAAGCAGTTCTGCAGGCCAGGGGGTCAGCATGTGGAGGAGGGCAGAGGGTGTGGTGTCCCTGGGTGGCTTTGGCGCTGTCACCATGGAGGATGCGCGGAGGAAGTGGCCGAGGGTTCCCACGTGACGGTGACTTGGCCTCACCTTTATCCCGCATTGGGTCCTTTCAGCTGGAGCTGGCCACAGCCAAGAGCGACATGAACCGACACTTGCATGAGTACATGGAGATGTGCAGCATGAAACGTGGCCTGGATGTGCAGATGGAGACCTGCCGTCGGCTCATCAAAGGCTCTGCAGACAGGTACCCACCCCCGTCCTCACGGGGCATTCAGTCGTTGTGTCCCTGGGGGGAGTTTGTGGGGCTGCAACCTGCAGCCTGGCCCATTTCACCTGCCCATCCGTCCATCCGTCCGCCATGCACCCATCCATGCACCCAGTGAGTATCAGCCACCCACTGTGTGCTGGATCACCGACGTGTCTGATTTCACGTGACTCCCCCAGCGGCCCTGCCCCCACTGATTCAACAGCTACTTGTCATGTCGAAGGCCTGCTCTGTGCCAGGCCGTGGGGACAGTGATGAACGGAACCGCCACAGCCCTCTCGGGCTCATGCCCCACTTTCTGCCGAATTGCCGGGTGGAGGAGGGGCGTGGGGCACTCGTCTCCACCACTGCTGATGGGGCTCAGAGGTGTCCACGGGAAGCAGTTTCCTTCCTTTCCTGTCTTCCCACCAGGGTGTCTGTCTCCCGGAGACTGACATGCATCAGGCCCCTCGTATTTGCCAGAAAACGCCAAAACAGAGACAGAGCCCCCCTGCCTTCAAGGGACACACAGCCTTTCTGGGAGAGACAGATATGCCAACAATAAAATGAGAAGATACACGTAGGAAGCTGGGCACAAAGCACAAATATGTTCATTGTAATCCTTTTATCGTGACTGTGGTTCAGGCTATAGAAGAGGGAGACGCAGCTCAGTGGAAGCTGTGGGGGTGAGGGGGAGGGCTTAGCTCTGTCGTACCTTAAACTCAACTGTTTCCACAGAACCTACTGTCATCCCCTCTGTGTTCAGACGGAGGAGCAGGTTAAACAGTTTGCCCGTGGCCCCCCCGGCTCTTCAGTGATGGGGCCAGAATCCCAACCCAGTACTGTTAGCCATTGTCCCGTGTGGCCTCCCTTTGAGCTCTGAGTTCATTGGGGTTTGCTGAGCACCTACTATGTGCCCAGACCTGTGTTAGGTGGCTAAGAGAGTAAGAACCCAGCTGGATCTGTGGGTCCTGCTCCCAGGGAGCTCTCAGCACCTGGAGCAATGAGAAGCAGCACAGGGGATCCCCAAGAGGTCTCGAGGGCCGCATTCAACTCGCCAGCCTAGCCGATTCCAGGGAAAGCAGAGCGAGGACAGGGTCTCCGGGCCCAGGATACCGCTCTGGGGTTAGATTTCAAACAAGTGGCGGCTCCGTCTTTCCCGCCCCTTGGATCCCGTCAGGAGTCCCCGGGCTGCCCTCCCAATGACCCCCGTTTTCCGGTGCCTTCCAGGAACTCACCGTCCCCCAGCTCCGTGGCCAGCAGTGACTCAGGAAGTACAGACGAGATCCAGGACGAGTTTGAGCGGGAGGCGGACGTGGAGCCCATGGTCAGCTGATGATGGAGGCCCCCCGTGCGGGCTGGTCTCGGTGATGGGGCCTCTGCTTCCTCTCCCCGCGGGGCCAGGAAGGCTCCTCGGAGTGGGGGTCCGGTCCTCACCACACAGACTCCCTCTGCCCTCCCTTGGCTGGAGGCCCCAGGGGACCGCTGCTTCCTCCCTTCCACCCCACCACCAACCAGTGCCCCTTCTCCATCCACCCACCCACCCACCCACCACCCACCCAAGGAATGGTGCTGTCAATTTCTATCGTTCTCCACATTACAAATGTAGACTTCTGTCCGGACGATGCAGTGTTAACTGTGCCTTTTCCCTTAAGCTGAGCCACTTTGAGCTCCAAAGAATTCTTCCTAGCAGGTGTTTTTATACAAAACTCTAAGGTGAGGGCGGGGCCCCTGGCGTGGGATCATGTGGATGTCTACCCTCCCACCTGCTCCTCTGATTGGCCATGACCTCTGCCCTCCCCGCCTCTGCCTGGCCAGTGCTGACCTTGGGGTGGTCCACCTACCCCCCACCACCCGCACCCCAGGAAGGAGCTGTTTGCCTGTGCAACCTTTCCAGGCCTGGGCGGTGTGTGTGGGGGGTTACCCCGACCCCCACCCCCCACCCCAAGTGTTTTTTTTACTTACCGACCGAGAGAAAAGATGGAAGGAGGGAGGGCAGACAAAATTTTATTTTCTTTTTTGGATCGAGTGGCAAAGCGGAGGGACAAGGCACCATGGGGGAAAGTGGAATCTCACTGTGTTTAAACTACTATGCAAAAAAAAAAAAAAACAAAAAAACCCACAAAAAAAACAAAAAAAACAACCCACAAAACAAACAAACAAAAAAAGCAGCTTGCCTTATATCATTGTGTAAGGTCGGCCCTCGCCCAGACTCCTGGTGTTGCCCTGGAGCTGGGAGGGAGGCCGAGGCAGCCCCCGAGGGTGAGCACCCGCTGGGAGGGGGCCTTTTGTCAAGGTCGATGGTGAGGCTGGGGGTGGGGGTAGCCTGCAAGGCCATGGCTCACCCGACTGCTTGCTTTCTGGGGACCTCTGTGCGGTGGGAGGGGTCTTTTAGTGCCCTGATGACTTGATGTTTTTTTCTCTCCCTTCCCAGCCAGTGTAAGGGGCTAGAGATCTGTAATTTCTCTGTGAGAAAGTCTGAAGGGGGCTAGGCCTGGCGTCCACCCCCTCCACAGCGGAGCTGGGTTCCCACTGCCTGCCGCCGTCTTCGTGGGGTCGCCCACCACTGGGCCACTGGCAGGCCCTGGAGAGGGAAGGGGAGCCGTGGGGGGCAGCGAGGGCCGCTGGCGGATCAGAGGTGTGGCAGGAGCCGAGCTGGAGTGAGAGCCATCCTTTGTTCTGCTCATGGACACACGCAAGCCTGTTTCCATTACTTCACTTGATTGACCGACCAGTGGGGGGTTCATCTGAGCCAGTATCTCCCCAAGACTTAGGTGGGCCTGTGTCACGAGGCACTGGGTTGAGGCCACCTGCCAAAGCTCAGCTTGGAGCTAGCCGAGCGGGTTTTGCTTTTTTTTTTTTTTTTTAATGATTTTTTTCTGTACCCACTCCTGTGGGTGGGATTGCCCATTTTTCTTTCTTGACTGGCCCAGGAGCGCCCCCTGGAGGTCAAAGGAGCGACACGTGCCCGAGGACCAGAACTTCCCACCTCCTGCTCTCCTGCGGAAGGCAGAGGATGGGGGGCTCTGGCTTTAGATCAGATTGCAGCCCCCTGTCTCTCTTCCTCAGGGTACCAGCGACCTGTAAGGGCCTTCTCTCTCTTCCATTTCCCCACCTGTTTTGCAGTCTTAAGACCATTGTACATAATATTCATATTATATATATATATAATACGATGTGTATATTATATATATATAATATCCATCCATATATGTATGGAGAGAGAGCGTGCGTGCGTTAGTGACTGTATGTGATTTTTATTTATCAGCACTTGGTGGCCTTTATTGTGAGTTTGTTTCCTTTTTTATTTCTGGTGGTGTTGTTGAGGGAACCTGCTGGTTCCCTGTGGCAGTCTGGCAGCCAAACAGTCCCAGGGCAGGTACGTGGAGGGACGGTGGCTTCAGAGGAGAGCCAGCCCCTTCCCCTCCTCCTCACTGACCCTTCTTCTAAAGGTTACAGGGTTCAAACGTAGCTGACTATTCTTGTCATTAGCGTTATTGTTGTTTTCGTTTTAGTTTCATTTTAACCAAAGGTGATCAGAGCCAGTCGGGCTTGGACCTCAGCTGCTGGAAAGATTTTCCGTTTCTGGGAGGACCCCCTCGGGCCTCCTCTGTCCAGGGCTGGGGGGGGTGTGTGTGTGTGTGATTGAAGGTGTGGTGTGGGAGGCAGAGCAGAGGCCGGCCCCGGGGTGGTTCTCAAGGTGGTGGGGAGGGTGACAGACCCATCTTTAGTGTTAAGACATAAGGCGACAGTGTAAGTATTGGGGTTGGGGGGGAATAATCCAGGTGACCGTGGCAGTCGGTGTCCGGTGGTATTATTTATGCTTCCCCCCTCGTGTACATAGGATGTTTGTCTCGGGGACTAGGGTGCTCTAGTTTGTCCAGGGAGTCTGGAAGTGACAGGAGCCAGAGATGGACGCTGGCCATGCAGCCCCTTCCTGCTGCTTTTCTATAGCTGTGCTCCCCTGGGGAGCAAGGATTTGGGGCAGGTGGATGGGCGTGCGGCAGACCTGCCTCCTGGGCAGGGGCGAGTGGCGGGAGGCGGGGAGCCCGGGTCTGGGCCTGGCTGCCTTTCTCCCCACCAAGTTCTTTTTTTGAGTTTGTTGCCAGTGGGCCCTGCTTGTGCCCTCGCCATGAGCCCACAGCTTGCCAAGAAAGCCCCCAACGCTCGCTGGGGCAGCACCAGGTCCAGTTGGGAAGAACTGGTCCGTCCTTTGTAAAGCTGTAAATACTCAAATTTCTATTTCTAAGCCCAGTGTCATATTGACATTGGTATTTTAAGGTCGTTCTCAGATGGGCTCTCCAGCGCTGCCCTCTCTCACTCTCCTATTTTGGGGGGGGGGTTTTATAAAAAGAGAGGATTGGGGAGAGGCAGGGAGAAGTAGCTTCCTTTCACCTCCCTGGTTGTGGATCACACACACGCGCACGCACGCACGCGCGCACGCACCTCTGAGACTCCAAACGGGGGAAAAAAATCATTGGCAAGTGAACACCTCTTGTTTTCTTGTAGCAATATACCTTGAGGTCTCCGAAGGGCCAGTCCATCGCGGACTGAGCTCCGACCTACGGAGAAGCAAACCACTTTGGCTTGGAATGGGGGAGAGGGTGTGGGGTGGCAGGTACTCTATGGTGTAACTTAAGCTAAATGTAATCTATTTATAAAGCAAGAGATTCTCATCTATTTTTGTGAAAGGAAAGGGTTTTTAAATCTAGGGTAGGCAGTTATGGTAGCCCCGCATTCTCCTGTGAACAAGATGCATGTTGCTGCTGGACTGAATATAACCAGTGCCCCTCCCGTCCCCCTGGCCTCACTGCCAGGTCACCTGCACCCATGAGCGGCTTCAGCAGAGCCTAGGTCCCACCTCACCCCACTTCCTTGTTTCTCCACCTCCCCCCCCCCAGCTCCTTGGTCCTTGAAAGTCTTTGATGGGGGGGGGGGTAACTCCGGGGAGTGGGTGGGTGGTGAGGGATTCAGAATCGAGGTCTGGGGTGGGGGGAGGATGGGAGATGGGGCACCGGGTGGGGGATGAGCTCTGCTTCAGAGGGTGGGCTCTGGTCTGCCAAGATCCATTTCCGAGTTGGCTGTGTCTGGGGGAAGCTGAGAAGCAGCAGACCGTGGGTGTCCATGAGACTGTTGGTTCTGGGAGCATGCGGCTCCCTTGGGGCCTGGGCCCTACAGGGTCCCAGGCTGCAGGGTCCCAGGCTGTCAGGCAGCCGGAGCAGGTATGGGAGTGCTCCAGGAGACGCCCACCACCCAGCCCCAGCTGTGCTTGCTCCAGGCCGGGGTCCGGGCTGCAGCCCTTGGTGTGCTCCTCCAGGGCCTGGGGCAGGGACTGGGCGCCTGGGGCTTCCTCAGACCCGGGTTCACCATCTCAGCACACCGAGCTCTGGTTCTAGAAGGGCATCCTCCTGGCACGGGGGAGTCTGGGGGCAGCTGGGTGGGTATGGGTCAAGGCAAATTCTCTCTGAAAGGGAGCTTCCCTTTGGGTGGAGGATTTCCAGGTTCGGGGTGGCCTGTGTGTTAGTCTTGGGCGAATCCCCCACCATTCCCGCTGCCCGGCCCTCAAAGAAACGAGGCCAGGCACCATCCCCACCCCCAGCAAGACCCCTTCGTGGACATTTTAGCATCTACCTGATTTTTAGCCCCATCCAGGGAGACTTTGTATCCCGCAGTCCCATCCCACCCCACTGTTGCTGTTTGTCTGCCCATTGGGTCTAGTGTCAAGGGGAAAGGGGGAGGGTTTATACTCATTGAAAGACTACTGATCCTACCGGAAACCAACCTGTTTACTGTACTGTTGTAAATATCATGCCCTTTATATCCTGTATATTGGCTTCTTTTAAATAAAGTGAAATGTCTTAGAATTGGTGGTGCTTTCTTCTTTTTCTTTTCTTTTTTTTTTTTTTAATTGATAAAATAGTGAGGGGGCAGGGGGAGGGGCAAGGGGACTGAGGCATAGACACGGAAACAAAATATTCAGCCAGTTTGTGATACAATAGGGACATTTCAGGGCAGCCCGGGTGGCTCAGTGGTTTAGCGCCGCCTTCAGCCCAGGGTGTGATCTTGGAGACCGGGGATCGAATAAATAAATAAACTCTTTAAAGAAAATAGGGACATTTCACAACCCCTGTTATATTGGCCCCTCACAACGAAATCTTCGGAAGTCCATAAAGCAGGATTTATTATTATACACGCTTTACAGGAGGGGAAGAGTGGGCCGGAGATCCCAGGCCGAGGAACCGGCATCGCCTGGTTTGCAGTTGAGGTCTGCTGATCATAAAGGCCCTCCCCCCCCCCCACCCCCCACCCCCAGTTTGTTTAACTTCCTTTCTCAGTGCCCAGGAGGGGCTGCCTCGGGGACTCTGGATTTGACTGTTCTTGTTTTCTTCTTGTTAATGGCCAAACTCGGGGAGACACTGCTTCCTGTGAGCTGCCCTCCCCTCCCCACTAGGGTGGTTTGAAGGATTCAGAGAGACAGGCACCAATTCTAGTCTGTCTTCACCATCTTTAAGACTTGTGGTTAACGGAACTTCCTTTTCTCCCCACTCTTTAGATTTCCCGAAGTGTCTTTAAAGGGTGTGACCTGGAGAAAGAGGAGTAGCATGAAATAATGGGAGCGTTACCCCTCTTCTGTAGACATGGATAAACTGAGACCCAGGGAAGGGAGCTATTTTACCAATGTCCTAGGGAGGAACCACAATCAGCATCAGCACTCTGACTCCCCACCAGGTTCTCCTTTAGCATTAGAGGAAATAGAAACATTTATTTTTTTTTCCGGAAGAGTGTTTGAAACTCTTCAGCAGCAATTTAAATGGAATGAATCCAGAGGAGCCTGCCATCAGGAAGACTTCAGAATCTGATTTTTTTTAAAAGGAACTTCATCTTTTTTTTTTTTTTTTTTTTAAAAAGATTTTATTTATTCATGAGAGACAGAGAGAGAGAGAGAGGCAGAGGGAGAAACAGGCTCCATGCAGGAAGCCTGACACGGGACTCGATCCCGGGACTCCAAGATCACACCCTGGGCTGAAGGCGGCGCTAAACCACTGAGCCACCTGGGCTGCCCTGATTTTTTTTTTTTTTAAGATTTATTTATTTGACAGAGAGTGAACACCATGGGTGGGCGAGGGCCCAGAGGGACAGAGTCTCAAGCAGACTCTGTGCTGAGTGGGGAGCCTGATGTGAGGCTCCATCTCACCACCCTGAGGTCAGGACCTGAGCTGAAACTAAGAGTTGGTCGCTTAACCAACTGAGCCACCTGGGCGCCCCCAGAATCCGAATTTTAAATAAACCTTTCATGGAAACAACTTTTCCAAAAGAAAACCAAAATTCTCACTCGGGGGTTGGCCGGGGTGGGGAGGGATGGCGGTGGAATGGGGCGCAGGAACAACCGGTTCCAGTGTCGCAGGATTTCTTTTCCTCCGGTGCCCCCCGGTTCTTGGTCAGAATGAAGAGATAGGCCGGACAGAGTGGTGGGCAGCAAAGCAAGGCTAACCTGAGCAACAGTCAAGTTGATTGAATGATGGCGCACAAAGCTCCCAAAGAGGGAGGGGCCCTGAGACGGTTGCAGATTTGGAATTTAGATCTGGAGGTTTTATGGGTTTATTGGCCGGCTGCTTTAATCTAATCAACCCTCGCTGAGCCTGTCATCTATCTAATCAGTGTTTTGTCATCGATGCATCACATGGGAAAGGGTGGAAGGCTCTTTCCAGGGTGGGTGTTCCATCCTTTCAAGGGTGGTTTCCTCTTGGGGGAGGGGGGAGGGCTTGCCCCTGCCTGCCTTTCTTTTTTATTTTATTTTATTTTATTATTTATTTTATTTTATTTTATTTATTTTATTTTATTTTATTTATTTATTTTTTATATTTTATTTTATTTATTTTATTTTATTATTTATTTTATTTTATTATTTATTTTATTTTATTATTTATTTTATTTTATTTATTTTATTTATTTATTTTTTATATTTTATTTTTTATTTTATTTTATTTATTTTATTTTATATTTTATTAATTTAATTTAATTATTCTATTATTTTATTTCATTTTATTTTTTATTAATTAATTTACTTTTTCCCTGCCTGCCTTTCTTCCAAGCATCCTCCATCACCAGGTCCCCTAGCTTTGCGGAAGGTAAGCATGGACCGGCTGGGTTTCATCGCTCACTGATGGTAATCGGGACGGAGGCCGATTGATCCAAGCGCCAGGCCTGCAGGTGGGGGCAGGCTGGGTGCCCACCGGCGGGAGGCTAGAGGCAGGGCCTGCGGGCTCCGAGGCACCGGGCTGCAGCCCCGGGTGGAGTGCGGCGCGCACCTGGCCGAGGGCAGCTGGGGCGGGCGGATGCTCAGAGCACCTGACGCGCCGACCCTCCGTCCTCCCGCGGCTCCTCCCACGTGTCCCCTGCCGGCTCTCTCATTGGCTCTCTCCGCCACAGGCCGCCCATCCGATTGGTCCGCAGTGTCCGAGGCGTCTCTCTGATTGGCCGACGAGGCTCACGCCCCCTTTGAGGCAGGCGGGGCCATACCATAAAAGACGGGGGGGGGAAGCGTGTAACTGTCATTGCCGCCCTTTAAAGCCGCCTTGTTCCGTGTCGCCTGCTGGCCTCTCCGGTGCCCTCACCCTGGAGCTATCGTACGAACAGAGGGCAGGCACGGAGGCGCTTCGGGGGATCCCGACTCGGAGGACGGCCGCGTGACCCGCCCCCCCGGCCGCCAGGTGGTGCGCTCCGGGCGGGGCTCCGCCTCCTGGCCGCGCCCGGGGCTCCGGGTGCGCGAACCGCCGGGGGGTCGCAGGGTCGGTGCTCGGCCCCGTGCAGCGCTCGAGATGCTGCTGCCGCTGCCGCCCGCGCTCCGCCGTGCGCTGCTGGCGCGGCCCTGGAGGGACCCCGGGTGAGTGCGCCCTGGGCCTGCGGCAGGTGGAGGGGGCGCCCCTGCCGGTCCCCCGCCGCGATCCCGAGGGCTCCCCCGCGGGGGCCGCTTCCCCTACCCCCTGCCGCTCATCCAGGCCCTCCTCCCCGCGGAGCCCCCTCCTCCATCTCCTTCCTCTTTTCCTTCCTTCCTCCCGGCTCCCACGCTCGGAAAGTGCCCCGCTGAGCCCCCCCGCCCCGTGCCGGGCTCCCCAACCCCGGGCTCACATTCAGGACCCGACGCGGGGCTCCCCGGGGCTCCTCTCTCCTTTCTGCAGGGACTTCCACCTCCCTCTTTCCTCTCCGACCGCCTCCCCCCTTTCCGAGATAAGTACGGGGCAGAAGAGGGACCCTGCCTTCGGGCCGGCGGGGTGCTTCTACCGTGCCAGACCCCGGGCTCGGGCACTGGGTCCCGCCCCCCGCGGTGACCGAGGGAGACCCTGCGCGCGCGCAGGGCCTTGCACAGCGGCTCACGCGCAGCCCCCGGGCTTTACCCCGCTCGTTCAAACTGCGGTGGATGGTGCAACTCAGAGGTGAAGAAGCCAGGGTGTAGCTCCAGGGTGCACCTGCCCTGCAAACGCCCGTGCTGTGGAGCTGGGTTCCCGGACCCTCCCCCGCTCAGTGGTGCATGTTCTTGGAGCTCTTCTGGGCTAGGTGCGGGGAGGTGTGCAGGGTACAGACCCCGCCCGGAGAGGCTCGGCCTGGTGGACTGGGTGATGGAGGTGGGCAGGGCACAGACCCCATCCCAGAGAGGCTCTGCTTGGCAGACTAGGTGATGGAAGTGGGCAGGGCATAGACCCCTTCCCGGGCGGACTGGGTGATGGAGGTGGGCAGGGCACAGACCCTGTCCCAGAGAGGCTCGGCCTGGCGGACTGGGTGATGGAGGTGGGCAGGGCACAGACCCCATCCCAGAGACGCTTAGGTCTGGCGGACTGGATGTTGGAGGTGGGCCTCCCTTTCAGGGCTGGGCAGCCCCCGCTCCCAGTTTGAGTTTTGTTTGCCTGACCCCTGGGACTTGTGACCAGACCAGCTAGGTCTCCACTGCTGAGCCCTGCCCTGAGTTAATCAGTTTCCCAAGGGATGGTACGGGGGAGGGGCCGGTGCCCTGGGCATGGGTCAGTGTCCTTTGTGAGTGGGGGCTTGATAGGTAAGGGCACAGGAGGAGCACAGCGGGGGAAGACTCCTCTCCCAAGCCAAGGTTGGGGGCCAGACTTGCCACCCCTCCAGCGTGGTCCCTTTTGCCAGCTTCTCCCTGCACTGATACTCCCCCCCCACCCCCCATGGGGGAGGAAGCCCCGTAGATTCATGTGTTGACTGAGTACCTACCATGTGGGATACTGGAAGAGAGGGGTACCTGGGGGACTTACAGGTGGATAGGGCCTTCAGAGAGTTTTCAATTTAAGGGCAGACGGTGGGTACTTAGCCATAAAAACCTCCAATATCTGCTAGAAAGCAATCTATATTCTAAAAAAAAAAAAAAAGCTTGTGATAGCAATAATATTTATCAAGCAATCAAGAACCACAGACCTGGCCCTGTGCTGACAAGCACTATATTATCCCCATTTTTGCAGATGGGAGACTTATCTGCCAGTGAAGGCAAATGGAGAGCTAGAATCACAGTCAGACTCCAGCTTCGTGCTCTTAATTACGGAGCCTCCGGAGCGGAGCCAAAGGGTTTTTTTGCAACCAGATCTGAAGGCTCAGGTTACCTCTTTCGATAGAGCAGCTGGCCCGATGCCCTAGACAGAGTTTCTCAACCTTGGCACTATTAACATTCTGAGCCTGGCTAATCCTGTGTTGTGGGGGCCGTCCCGGGCATTGTAGAATGTTTAGCAGCTTTTCTGGCCTCTCCTCGCTAGACTCCATTAGCACCCCACAGTTTGTGACAATATAAAAATGCCAGACACTGCGGAAAGTCTCCTGGGCCAAATTGCTCCTAGTTGAGAGCCACTGCTCCAGAAAAGCAGGTTTGATGTTTGGCTACTTTTTCATTTATTCAACAAATATTTAGGATGCACGGATACACATGCTTAAAAAAAAAAAAACAACCAACAGTGTATAATGGTGGGCTCACGTGCAAATGCTTTTTTTGTCATTTACTTTTTTATTCCATATACTTGTCTATCTTACTGCCCCCACAGCCTCATACCTTTTATGTGCATTATTTTACTGAGCTCCTCAGCAACCTATGATGTAGGCGTCACTGTTCCCATTTCAGGGATTAAACGATGGAGACCCTTGGAAATCGAGGAAGACTTGTCTGAGGCCTTAAGCTAGTAAACATCAGGCCCGCAGTTGACTGCCTCCTGTCTTTGGCCCTGATCTCCTGCTTTTTTCTCTACTTCATTGACTTTATCAGGGGTGTCCTCGGTTATGTCTCTGCAAATTCTTGGAAAGAGCCCAGATCCATGTTTGTATTTATGTATAGATTTAATAAGCAGAAGAACTAGCCCTGGCACATAGTAGGCTTATACTGGAAGTCAATTGTTCTCTATTACTAGTTTTTATACCAGACCCTACTCGGTACCAGAGGATTAGAGATGATGTGACTAACTGAGTGAAGGAACAACTAGACTCTAAAGTGACCCTAGTCCTGGCTTCAGAGGCTATTAGAGCCCCTACTTGGACTGCAGTTGTCACTAGCATACCTCAAGCACCTGCTGCTGGTCCCCAGCCCCTGGCCCGGCGCATAGTAGGTGCTGACCACTGGCTGTTGGAATGGCCCAGAGGACAGCACGGGCTGGGTTCTGGCTCCACCTCTTAGCAGCCCTGTGGCCCTGGGCGGGCTATGCAACCTCTGTGTGCTGCCTCATGTTCCCGTGTGGTGGATAAAGACAGTGGCAGCCACCCCGGGGGACTGTCCTGGCGAGGAAATGAATTCACACTCAGAAACCACTTTGAAGAGTTTCAGCACCTAGACGGTGTTGCTTTATGTATTATTTTGATCCCCTTCCCCACCCATGGGCTGTCCATGTCCTGGGTGATTGCCCTGGATCAGGAATATCCAGGTCCCAGGAGCACAGGGTAGAGGCAGGTGTGGAACTCAGATGCCCCCGGTGCTTTCCCTTCATCCTCATTAATTACCCGGATGCAAACCCCTTTCTGTTGGGGTTGACCTCGCTCGCCGCAGAGGAGGGCGCAGACACCTGCCCATCCTGGGGGTTTCTTACCCACTCTAGATCTTTCCTTTCCTGGCAGGGACCTCATGGAGCGGCCAGCCCTAGGCTGAGCCCTCAGTGCCCGTGGACAGCAAGCCACCACCCACCTCTTTGGTGAGCTGGGAAATGTTGAGCCTGAGGGAGGACCAACCTGTCACCACAGCCCTGCTGCTCAGGGGTCTCTGAGTGCCTGCAGGTGCTTCTGCCATAGGAAGACCTGGGTTCAGGTCCTGCTCTGTGGGGCTGTGCCCCGGAGCCATGCGTGAGCACAGAAATCTCAGAAGTCCATCTTCTCATATGTAATACTACTAATAATAATCCTGGCACCTTCCTCATGCATTCATAGCTGGATTCAGGAGATAATCACTTAGCGTAGTGCCAGGTGTGTCGTAAGTGCTTAATAAATACTCCTTGATGTTTCCGGGGCAATAAAGTGGAAACAGCTCGGCCTGGGCCTGATGCGGCTCCCTTCTGGACCTGCCCAGGGCCCAGCACTTTCTCTCGGCTCACTGCCCCTTATCTCGGAGATAAGGAGGATTGGCCTTATCAGGTCCCATATAACAGCTAGGAAAATCTGGAAGCTGAATGAAGCAAGGCTGTTTCCTTTCTCCTCCTCTCCTTGGCCTCAGTCACCACTCACCGCTAACCTCGGCCACTAGGGACCTGTAGCCAGCCCCAGGTGTGAGCAGAGGGCACTGGCTTGGGAGTCCAGTCCTGGGAGCCTGGTGGTGCTGACAACACTTGGGTGTTCATTATCTCCCCTACCCCCACTTTTTTCTTGATGAGTCTCATGAAAGGTGTATCAGTGTGTTCTTTGTTTTGTTTTTTAGAATTTTACTAGAGAGAAGGTGTACGAGGATGAGGGGGGAGGGGTAGAGGGCAAAGCAGACTCCCAACCAAGCAGGGAGCCAGACTTAGAACATGATCCTGGGACTCTGGGGTTATGACCTGAGCTGAAGGCAACCAACTGAGCCACCCAGGTGTCCCATGTTCTTTGTTTTAAAAGGCATTTCTCGGGACGCCTGGGTGGCTCAGCAGTTGGGTGGCTGCCTTTGGCTCGGGTCGTGGTCCTGGGATCTGGGATCGAGTCCTGCATTGGGCTCCTGCGGGGAGCCTGCTTCTCCTCTGCCTGTGTCTCTGCCTGTCATGAATAAATAGATAAATCTTAAAAAAAAAAAAAAGGCATTTCTCACATGCTCGGGTGCACCAGATGGTGTGTCTGGTAGTGAGCAGAATGTTTGCAGGCCGTAGGGGGTCGCTGATGGCCTGTTGGGAGCACAGACAGGCACAGCTCCGTGATGAGCAGCGTCAGTGAGGAGATCATGGGGCTCTGAGATGACTTGATGCCCCCCACCCCGCCGTCCAGGCGCTGGAGGGTAGCATCCCAAGCAGAGTTGACTCCGAAAAGACCCAGGTGGCCGGATTGCAGCAGACCGAGTGGGCGGGCTGGGGCTGGGGTGATGGGAAATGGGCCTGGAGCCCTCAGTAAGGATTCTGATTTTTTGTTGTGGAAGAAATGAGAAGCCGCCAAGTAGGCAGATTTCATTGTCCTTATCTGAGTAGTCTCTGTGTCCTTGAGACGTGGAATAAACGTATGCTGACGACTGAGGCATGCAGTCCTGCCTCCCCGGGCCTCGAAGATCCTCCCAGAGGCTCCAGGTTCTGCGAGGGACTCTTCTCTGCCTTCCCCCGGAGCCGAGGGAAAGGTGTTCATGTTCACCCCACATGGCCCATGAGCCAAAATAAAAGCGGGGGGGTGATTGCTTTTGTCAGGCGTCCTTGGATCATTTTTGGCTGCTCTGACTCAGGATGATCTTTGAATTCTGTTCCCTACATTCGGACTGTTGGGCAGCCAGGCCGGGGCTTGGAGACTTTCCAGGCGTAGAGGGAGCCAATGGGGGATGTGAGCCTGTGGTCCCGGTGGACCTCTGCCCTGGGGGAGGTGGAGAGGCCTGCAGGGTTTCTGTTTCTGCCTGGGAGGCAGCAGGTTCAGGAGGGCTCGTAGCTGTTATATTTTAAGCTGGGTGGAATGTGGTGCTAAGCTGATTCCAGCGCTAGTTGTTGAGCACCCGGTCTAGCCCCTGATCGTTGTGACCTGAGGGTGTCTGAGAACCAATTTGCCTTTTTTTTTTTTTTAAAGTAAGCTCTATGTCCAATGTGGTGGGTGAACTCACGACCCTGAGATCGAGAGTTGCATGCTCTACCCTCTGAGCCAGGCGCTGAGTCAGGCGCTCCTGGTGCAGTAACGTTCTAGAAGACAGTTTTCTTAGAAATACAGAGCAGGAGGGGTGAGGAAAGACAAGCACCTCGAACCCCACCATGCCCCTGCAGGGCACACCGTACCACCCGCATTCTTCAAGTGGGCACTCCGAGGCCCGCCGATTTTATAGCAACGGGCTGAGGTCTCGGAGGAGGTGTGCTTTCTGCATGTCCTGGGAGCTGGGGTCCGGGCTGGGGTTGGGGCGCGCACCTCCAGGCTCCTAGCCCACACCCCCTCTCTGCGACACCCTCCTGGCTGCCAGAGGAGATGGTGGTATCTGATTTACTGATTGGGGGTGGTGTGCTGCTGGAACCTTCCAGAGGGCCCTGGGGGCACACACACCACCCCCGCTTTCTGGGCTGGGGTTGAGGCTTGTGGCCTAGACCTTGGCAGCCTCTCTGTTCTTCCCCACACCGTCTGGAGGGGGTCGGTGTGGACTTTAATTTATGGGGCGTACCTACAGCTCTGTGTTACCATCTCCTCAGCTCTCCAGCGAAAGGCCTGGTGGGGGGCTGGCCTAGCCCCACGTTTCTGCCCTTGGTTAGGGGAAGGGTGAGGCCTGAGGAATGGGGCTGGCCTCCTCGGGTGTGCTGGGTGCTGCCTGGGAGGTGCGTTGGGAGGTGGGGGGGTGGTAAGGCCCAGCTCACTCTGCCGTTCGTTAGACAAGATCTTGGGCAACCAGGCCCTGCCTTCCCCCCTCCTGGACCGCCCAGGCCCCTCTCAGCGCTTCCTGTCAAGCTTCCTGCTCTGGGCCTTTATCCTTGCGCTCCTCTGGGCCTGGAATGCTCTTCCTTGCCCTTCTCAGATCCCAGGTCACCCTCAGACGACACCTCCCCCGAGAGGCCTGCCCTGATCACCCTGGCTAGAACAGCCCTGCCCTTGCCCTGACTCATTGTCACAAGCCCTCTGTCCTAACTGTGTTTTTTCTTGCCCGTGGCCCCCACTGGAGGTTAGCTGCTTGTGATGGATGATTGGAAGAAAGGCAGGTGGGGCAAAGCCCTTGCCCTAAGAGGAAACCACCCTCGGAAGGACTTTATGCCACTCTGGAGGGAGCCCTCTACCCTTTCCCACCGTGATTGATAGATGCCAAAAACCTGATTGGATGGCAGGCTCAGGGAGGGTCGATCAGATTAAAACAGGCGACCAACCAGCCCATAAAACCCCCGGATTTAGAAACTGGTGGCAACCCTGTCAGGTCCCCTCCCTCTTCTGGAGCTTTGTATAGTTCAGTGAACTTTGCTTTACTATTGCTCAATAAACCTTGTTTTGCTGCCCACCACTCTGTCCTGCCTACCTCTTTACTCCTCCAAGTTGTACGTGAGAAGCTCGGGACACTGAAGAAAAGAAATCCTGCCCCATATGCGGCCCGAGGCCTTGCTGTCTTGGTCTCCAGTGTTTAGAGCAGCGCCAGAGACTTTGCAGGTGCCCAAGAGCCTTGTAGAATGAAGGACCAGGCCTCACGGCTCCTGGTTTTGTGTCCTTCCTCCAGGCCTTCCAGGCTGGGTCCGTAGGTCTCCAGACCCCTTCCCAGGGAGGAAGGATAAAAAATGCCCCCAGCACTCACAGCCCAAGTGACACTGGTGCCTGGAGGACTCCCCGAGCTGGGGCTCCAGCTCTGGAATGAATGGCTTCATGTCCTGGCTCTTACCCGGCTGCCCCCCCCCGCCCCCAACTGCCTTGCTGTCCGCAGACGTGAGGGGCGGTGGTCACCAGTGTGTCACCAGCCAGTGAGGTCATAAGGTTCAAGACCGAACAGGGCTTCCAGGACGAGGAGTTCTGGAGGAGCCTGGAGTCAGGCCCTGAGCCCCTAAGCCAGCCCCTGCTGTGGCTGCGAGCTGAGGGGGGCACTTCTCCAAGGTCACTGCCCACACATCTTGGATGTTCTTGCCTCCCCGGAGCTCAGCTCTGGTTACCAAGGGAATCCCAGCCGGGGGCCGAGCTCTGGAAGCTGCCCTTTCAGCCCAGAGGCAGCAGTAACTTGGGGCCGGGTGGGAGAAGGGCTGCATCGTGGGGAAGTGAAGGGAGAGTCCATCCCCTCCACGTACAGAACGTACAGAAGTGGTTTTGCACTGATTGAATTTAAATATCAAACAGCCATGTGGGTTCGTGTGGTGGTTCTCGCTTAGAGATGTAGAAACGGGCCCAGGGGAGGCAGATCATGGGTCCAAGGATGCACAGTGGCAGGCCTGGGACTGGAACCTGGGTTTTGTTTATTTATTTATTTTTTAAGATTTTATTTATTTATTTATTTTAAATTTTATTTATTTATTCATGAGAGACAGAGGGAGAGGCAGAGACACAGGCAGAGGGAGAAGCAGGCTCCCTGCAGGAGCCTGATGTGGGACTCGATCCTGGGACCCTGGGATCACGCCCTGGGCTGGGAAGGCAGATGCTTAACCACTGAGCCCCCAGGCGTCCCTATTTATTTATTCATGAGAGACACAGAGATTGAGAGAGAGAGAGAGGCAGAGGCAGAGACAGAGGGAGAAGCAGGCTCCATGCAGGGAGCCTGACATGGGACACAATCCCGGGTCTCCAGGATCTCGCCCGGGACTGAAGGTGGCCCTAAACCGCTGAGCCCCCTGGGCTGCTGAACTTGGGTTTTGGATCTCAGGGCCAGTTCTGTTCTTGCTCCAATTGCAGGATTCTAGGCCAACCCAGAACCATCAACCCCCCCTCCCCGCCCCCACTGTTGGAGGTGGAGGCCCTCGGTCTGGCGGCGGCCACTGCTGACCTGTGGGCCTCTGTTCCCGCCCTTGTACCCCAGGCTGTGGTGGAAGCACACCTCTTCCCTGAAGGTGGCCAACGAGCCAGTCTTGCCATTCACGCAGGGCAGCCCCGAGCGAGATGCGCTCCAGAAGGTAACGGGGCGTTGGGGGCACCCAGTGGGGGGAGGGCGTGGAGGGAGGGAGGACAGCCTTGAGCAGCCCCCAGGACCCCTCTCTGGGCCTCCAGCCACCACCCCCAAGGCACCTGCCCCCCCTGCCCGCCCCCAGCCTTGGAAGGAACACGGCTCTGGGACAGCCAGCCGTGTGTCCACAGAGGATAGGAGAGGCTGGAGGCAGTGGGGGTGCAAGCCAGGCCCCTGGGGGGCTCGGGCCAGGTCAGGGCTTGTCAGCCCACAGACGTTTTATGCTGAAGAACGTTGTCCCATTAATTGCCAGTATTGTAAGAATCATGTGATGTCACATACCTTTCACATACGGTTTTCTGTTCTGCTTATGACGGGAAGACCTGGCAATGCTGGCCTCGCCTGCCCGCAGGACAGGACGGTGACAGCGGGTGGGGGCTGAAGCCTGCTGTCCCCTGAGCGGAGCAGATGCCCTCTGACCTCAGGGCCCCTTCCTGGCCATCTGCATTTGCAGGCTCTGCACCGGGGTTTCAGGTGGGCCAGAGAAGGGGAGGAGGTGCCCATCTGCCCCGTTGTCCCCTCTGTAGGCTTTGAAGGACCTCAAGGGCCGGACGGAAGCCATCCCCTGTGTGGTGGGGGATGAGGAGGTGTGGACCTTGGACGTGCAGTACCAGGTGTCGGTGAGTCCGGCAGGCAGGCGGGTGGGCGGGCGGCGGGCAGGGCTCGCTTCTCCCCGAATCCAGGGTCCTTCTCTCAGGCAACAGATAAGCTTGCAACACACGGGGGGGTCTCTGCCTCCCAGGCGAGGATCGTGGTCCGTTCCCAGATTTTGAATTCTGTGCGCCGATACAAAACCTCCCAAAGCAGTCGTCTTGGGGGTGTTGTCCTGAAAGATCCCACGTCACGCCTGCCCGGAGGGGGTTAAGACAATGACTGCACCTGCTTCGGCATCTCGTTAGGAGAGTGGGAACCACTGGCCACCTAGAGCCTGGGGAGAAAGGACAGAATATCAGAATCCAGGGCGCTCCTTCCCCAGAGAGGCCAGTCGCAGAGCCCTGCAACTGCTGCTCCAGCGGGAGGATAAGCCACGTGGGGCCCGGGGAGAAATTCCTCCCGAGGGTGTGGGAAGGACGCGCACGAGTGACCAGCGGGGTCCCCACAGGAGTCTCAGTCTCGCGCACAGGGGTTTCACGGGGCCGCAGCGAGCAGGCCAAGGACGTCCTCAGAGCCCAGCGCCTGGGGATGCCAGCGCCTGCCCTGCGGGTCTGCTCCCGGGGCAGCTCTTCCGTCCGGAGTTCGGGGTTCCAGCTGGACACCCGCAGCTTCCCTCCCAAACCTAACGACGGGAGCTTTCACATACGGATTCAAATGTCCGGCTCCTCTGGGTGGTGGGGAGGTGTGGCCGCACAAGGCGGACGTTCCTGCAAGGCTCCGTGTGCCTGAGCACGTCTGCGGGCTGCCCTCTGGGGTCCCCGTTCCCTGCCACCCTGGCGTACGGTGTCGGCTGTCTCCACTCGCCGCCCTTGCCCCCCTTGCCCCCCTGGGCCCAGCTGGAGAACAGCCTGCCTGTGCGTCCCTCAGGCCCCCTGCCTAAGGGCTTCCCTGGGCAGGGCTTTTGCAAGACTCGGGACAGCAGGTGCCAGGGGCCTGTGGTCCACGGTGACGGTGAAGGGGTGGCACCTGCTCCAGTGCCTCGCCCCTCCGTCAGTTCCAGGACAGGAGGGACCTGCTCTTCGAAGAGTTGGGGATCGTGACCAGGATTCGTGGCTGAATGGAAGTTTGCGGCCGTGCTCCAACCCCAGGCAGGAGAGCCACCCCATCCCTTTTTATCTCTTGTGTGGCCATGACGGTTCTAGCCCGGAAAGGCTTAAACCAAAACACCCACCCCCGCTGTGGAAAAAAGAGAAGCTGCTCGTCACAAGAGAATGTGTCCTGCTTTCAGGACAGCAGAGTGAAAAGGCGAGGGCGCAGCGGAACTTGGGAGTCCAGACTTGGACCCGCGGGTGTCCGGGGCCTAGGGGCGGCTGGGCAGTTAGGGGTGGGAAGGTGACGAGAGAGCCCGGCGGGAGCCAGGATGCAGGAAGCCCAGAAAGAGCCGGGGACGAAGGCCCAGGGGTGCCGGGCCCCGTGGACAAGCCTGGCGCTCGCCCGTGGAGCGTCTGCCCCCACCGTGGTGGCAGGTGGCCACCTGTGAAAGCGTGTGGCTCTACTCCTTGAGGCTGCCTGGCCCAGGCGTGGGGACCCCGCCCCAGCTGGGCCGCTCGGGTTCACGGCCCTGGACCTGCGAACTGGCGGCGGGCACCTGGCTTTGGGGGGCTGGGAGCTCCGGGGGGCAGAGAGGCAGGAGGGAGAAGTCTGAGTTTTCAGGCCGGGCTCCTGAGTCCTCCTGAGGCCCCGCTGGAGGCCGCCCGACTTGCCCCAAGGAGGCCCCTGTACCCAGTTTCCCTTCCTGCCCGCTGGCCGGGGATGCCGCCTTGGGCCGCCTGACCTCCCTGCGCCTCAGCTCTCGGGTGTGAGTTGGGGGAGCAGTCGTGCCGCGGGGGGTTGTTGTCGGGGGTGGACGGACAGACCCCTGCACGTACCTGGGGCTTGTGGGCGCGCAGTGAACAGATGTTGCCGTGGCCCCAGCCCTCCCACGTCTCCCAGCTCAGAGCCTGCAGCTGGTTTTTCATCCAAAAAAGCACGCGGCCCAGACCTGTCTGTTTTGAACCTCCGGGAGTCGGTGACCGTGGTGTCGGGAGGCTCTCTCCTGCCCAGCCCTGCTTCTCCTGCAGGCGCACCGTGGGTTTTGTGTGGTGTCACTCACTAGCCTGATGGCTATGCTGCGCCCAGCCCCTAGGTGAGTCCTGCCCACAGGTGAGGAACGTCCGGAGGAGTCCACACAGCATCTTCTGGGATTCTTGAGGGTTTTCCCCAGAAGGGGGCTTAGGGGCTCACGGTGGGCTAAGCCCCGTGATGACATTAGCCTGAGAACCCACCTGCTCTGGGTTTATCGAGCCAGGGACTGGCCTGTACTTTGGACGGACCAGGAAACTCCTAGATCTGTAATTTGGGGGAGAGTAAAAGGGGTGGCCCTTTTGCAGATGGGAGTGGCACATTCTGGCTCTGTCCCGGTGGAACCCGGAGGAGGTGCGGGCTGGGTAAGGGTAAGGATCCCGGGTCCCCAGCTGAGGGTTCCGAGGATGGCCCGGGGCAGGAGTCGCCCACAGGAGGCCTCCTGGAGCCCCCGCTACTGGATCAGCGACCAGAGGGCCCGACGCCTGGAGTCCTGGGGGCACAACCTGGGGTCAACTCAGTTCACTTGGCTCCTCGGGGCTGTGCCAGCTGTTTCTTTTTTTTTTTTTTTTTTTTTTTTATTTATGATAGTCACAGAGAGAGAAAGAGAGAGAGGCAAAGACATAGGCAGAGGAAGAAGCAGGCTCCATGCACCGGGAGCCCGATGTGGGATTCGATCCCGGGCCTCCAGGATCGCGCCCTGGGCCAAAGGCAGGCGCCAAACAGCTGCGCCACCCAGGGATCCCCGTGCCAGCTGTTTCTCCAGGCAGCTAGGATGTTGATAAATCATGGGGGGCCTCCCATTTTCATGGCCTGTGTTGCCTCAGGGACCTGGCCACGTGGTAAACGGGGGAGCGCAGGCATGGGAGGCGGGAGCTCTGTCGCCAGCACATGCTGTTGGCGTGGGGGAGCTGCAGCCCACTGGGGAGCCCTCAGTCGGAGAGCCTGGCTCCTCGCTGCCTCCTCAGCCCCCGAGCATCACAGCCCAGTCTCAGGGGTGGACAGGATACAGCTGACTCCGCTAGGGCTTGAAATGAAGGGGAAAGGGCCACTTTCTCCTTAGCCCTAGACCGGCACTGCCCAGTAGAACTTTCTGGAGTTATGACGATCAGTCTCGGCGCTGTCCCACTACGGCGGCCACGGGCCACGCGTGGTCGTCCAGCACACGGAATGTGGCAGGTGCAGCCGAGGACCTGAGCTGAAATGTCAGCAAGCACCTGTGGCTAGTGAAAAGCCCCTAGACAGCCCATTGGCAGACTCCTGGGTGGCAAAAATATTGAAAACTGGTGAAAAGAAGAATTTTTCCCTGCTTTATGGCTCACGCTAGCACCCGGCACTGCCGGATTCTGTTTGCAAATGTTTGTGGAGGGTCTTTCCTCTTAGGCGAGCCTACCTGGGTCCCATGCCAGGGGCTGGAGAAGCGGTTGCTCTGTTCCCGGGGCCCTGGGGGGGGGTGCAGTAGACGTCCTGAGCCAGGGTCAGCTCCAGCACACCGACTGGGGGCCTCCCGCGGTGACAGCGCCCACTCCAGAGCCGCAGCCACGCGCCACGCCCGCTCCAGCAGCATTTTCACCTGTGAGCTCATCCGGCCCCTCTCCCCATGTGGACGCCGGGGGTCCCCATTTCCCACAGGAGGAGGCTTGGAAAGGGGAGCTCACTTTACATATGGCCCCCAGCTAGTAGGCGGCAGAGCTGGGCCGGGAACGCGTGTCTGTGTGACCATAAAGTGCACAGTTTCTCTGAAAAACTGTGCGGTGCGTGCCTTTCTCTGGGACCGTGAACCTTCCAGAGCAGGAACTGTCTTATTCACCGAGCAGCAGGTGTTCTGTAACCCTTCAGTCAGAGAGGTCGGTGTGGGGCCTGGAGGAGAGAGGGCGGGTGTGCGGAGGACTCTTACCTGGAACGCGAGCTCTGAGCCCGGCCACCTCCCTACCTGCCCTGGCCCCTCCCTCCTGGGCAATGACCTCACTCTTCTCTCGCCTTGCAGCCCTTCAACCATGGACACAAGGTGGCCAAGTTCTGCTATGCGGACAAGGTAAGTCCCCGGTGACTTTGGGTTGGGGCGCTGCCCCTCTTGCCCTGCTGGCTGCTGACATGGAGGTGGATGCCAGATGCTGCTTCTCTCTCTGGCCATGGCGTGGGGGTGGAGTCTGTCACAAGGCCAGGACCGCCGGGGTTAATTCGAGCCGGATGAGAGCTGCGTGGGCCAGGGCTGACATCCCCTGACATGCCTATGGCCGCGAGGCAGCCCGGTATCCAAGGGGAGTCGATTCTGCAAGGCTGAGTCAGGGACGTTGGAAACACCATGGATGCAAAGCCAGACGGAGAATCGGCATCATGGAGAGCCAGCGAGAGGGGTGGGGTGCCCTGTGGCAGGGGGTCTGGAAGCTAGCCTCCTGTGGCAACGAGGGCCGTTGGCACCAGGGGTGCTGGCGGCAGATGGATGTCTCAGGCTGCGGTTCTGGCCTGGCAGGGCCAAGGCTGGGCACCTGACCTGGAGGGCTGGAGGCTCTAGCCGGTGGGTCGGGAGCCCCAGGAATAAGGTGAGGCCCTGCTGAGACCACACGAGCAAGCAGAGCTGGTCTAACGGCTGAGGGAGTCGGTGCCAAGTCCCTGGCATGCTGACCCACGTGGCAGGTCCCTCAGACCTCCAGACGGCAGCAGGGGGCTCAGGGCCTGGGGTGGACCAGCAGGTGATGGGGTGCTGTGTTTGCAACTCTGTGTGGGCAGCACTGGGGCCACAGGGAGCCCACAGGGAGAGTGGCCTCCAGGCTCCCTCGAGCACTCCTCTGGGCCCCTTTGTGCCGTGGGAGACAGCCCTGCGCCTTTCCCTCCTCGTTAGGCCCTACTCAACAGAGCCATCGAGGCCTCTTTGGCCGCCAGGAAAGAGTGGGACCTGAAGCCCGTTGCAGACCGGGCCCAGATCTTCCTGAAGGCGGCCGACATGCTGAGTGGGCCTCGCAGGGCGGAGGTCCTAGCCAAGACCATGGTGGGACAGGTGAGGTACCCGAGGGCACAGTCGGGGGTGCAGGGGAGGCCGTCACAACCCCCCATTGAGCAGACATCAGCTGGGCTGCTTCTGGTGCCAGGACGTGCCCTGCGTGCCGGAGACCAAGAGATGTCCTCGGGGCCCCGTGCTGTCCTCCAGCTCCAGGCTGTGGGCTTTCTCACACCTCCAGTGGGCTGCGGCGGGTTTGAACGCTTCAAGCTCCAGCCCAGATATCACCTCCTCTGTGAGGCTTCCAGAATCTTCTCTGTCCAAAAGGATTCGCGCGGCCCCTGTGCTCCTGCAGCCTGCTGTTTGCTTGTCAGTTACGGCTCACATCCTGTTGGGTGTGATGAGGTCCTGTGTGTGTGGTGTGTGGTGTGTGTGTGTCACCTCTTTACCAGCTTTTTGGAGAAACTGATCCTATCTTAGCTGTTCTCCATCTTCGGGGCCTTGCAGCACGTCTCCCCGGAGCCCTGTGCCCCTGATACATGGTTTACCTTTTCAGCTGAACGCATGTTGAGTCGGGGGGTGACAGCAGCAGCTCAAAGGGGGGAAGGCAGCCGAGAGAGGAGGGGGCTTGCCCGGCAGGGGCCAGCTCCCCCTCCTGTGCTGAGGGCCCCCTGTGCCCCCGGAGGTGGTGCCACAGCTCCTTACCGGCTGAGAGCCTCGTGATTCTCAGCAGCCCCCAGGGTGGTTGTGTGCCCCAGTGTCCCCGGGGAGCCACACACACACTCTCCACGGTTAACTAAAGACTCAGGAGCTCGTAGGAAGCGTGGCCAGGGTATCGTAGCTGCTGGCGCTCCAGGTCCCAGGCAGGGTGACCGCTGCCAGTGACCTGTGGGCCAAGGAGGGGCTGCCCTGATCTGGGGGTTCCCGCGGCCCAGAGCCCCCCCGACCCCCACCCTGTTCCCTCTCATCCCTGTGGGCGCACGGTCGGTGTTGGACCAGGGCCAACGGGAGGCCCGTCTCCGCGCTGACCCCCGGGCTGTCCTGTGCGCAGGGTAAGACGGTGATCCAAGCGGAGATTGACGCGGCGGCGGAGCTCATCGACTTCCTCCGGTTCAACGCCAAGTTTGCCGTGGAGCTAGAGGGGCAGCAGCCGCTCAGCGTGCCGCCCAGCACCAACAGCGTCGTGTACCGGGGGCTGGAGGTACCCACAGGGGCGGCGGCGGGGTGGGCAGGGGCCTGCGGGAGCCTTGAGCTTGGCCTCACCGCCCCCCCGCCCCCAGGGCTTCGTGGCGGCTATCTCCCCCTTTAACTTCACTGCGATCGGCGGCAACCTGGCGGGGGCCCCGGCCCTGATGGTAAGAGGATGGCCTTGATGGTGAGATCGGGGCAGGGGGTGGGCAGGGGGTGGGCAGGGGTGGGGGACGTGCAGCCCTCGCTCCTGCCTCGGCCGATGACGGGGGCCTGGCTGTGGGGCGCCGCCCAGAAGGCAGAGGCAGTGCGGCCCATGGAAAGGCTTTGGGGCCTGAGACTGGTTTGGTCCCAGCTTTGTGCTGCACTGGGGGACCCCCAGATGAGCCCCCAAACTCCTCTGAGGGGGTTTCATCCTCCTCCAAGCAGAGATCTAGCGAAGCTCCCAGTAGGGGGCTGTGAGCAGCGAGGGCAGCCTCGTGGGGGACACGCGTGGGGGGCGCGTCTGGCTGGTGCAGGCTTCGTAGTGGGAGAACGTTGGGCGCGATGGTGCTCACTTTCCAGCGCCCCCCTTGTGCCCCGAGTGATCTCCCAGATGTAGGAATAGGAAGTGACCACGCAGCAAAGATCCAGGCCCAGCTTCCAGGTCCCCGGCTCCGCTGCCCTCCTGAGCTCCCGCCCAGTGGGGGGTCATGCGGCTTAGCCTTGCCCTTGGAGGGGCAGCAGGGGGAGGGGGAGGGTGGCAGGGCCCTGAGCCCCACATGGGGCCGCTGGCTGCTCCCGAGGGTGCTCCTGCCCAGGGCTGTCCTTGCACGTCTGTGCGACAGCCGTGCCCACGCCCAGGTGCCCACGTGTCCTCACCCAGGACACGTGCAGAGAGAGCTCTGCAAGCACTTGCCTGGCCTTGCCCAGCGAGCGCCCGTCAACACGGAAACATGCAGAACGGACCTGCCCGAGGGGTGCTGGCCCCGCCAGTTGGTACAGGCTTCCAGAAGGGCCTGGCCAGGGTGGGGTGTAGGAGCAGGGGGGCAGGGTGCGGTCTCACTGGCTAGGGTTTTCAGAGCGCAGTGCCTGGCGCCTGGAGCAGGAGGGGACGTTCCAGCCTCGAGGGGCCTGGGGGTTCCACGTGAGAGATGGCTGTGCCTCAGGAGGGGGTGGCAGTCGGGGGAGCCAGCGGCCCCGGGCCTTGTGAGTCATCACCATGCCTCCCGGACAGGGCAACGTGGTCCTGTGGAAGCCCAGCGACACGGCCATGCTGGCCAGCTATGCCGTCTACCGCGTCTTCCGGGAGGCTGGCCTGCCCCCAATATCATCCAGTTTGTGCCAGCTGACGGGCCCACGTTTGGCGACACCGTCACCAGCTCCGAGCACCTCTGCGGCATCAACTTCACAGGCAGCGTGCCGTAAGTCCCTGGGGTGGGTGTGGGCGGGGCGCGGGGACGTTCGCCAGGTACCCACCTCGTGACCTCGGTGCAGGAGCTGGAGGTCGGGCGCTGGCCGTACCCCCCCACTCGCTGCGTGGCCACGGGTGGCCCACGCCTCCTCTCTGGGCCTCCGTTTCTTGACCCGTTCAACAGCAATGATGGTCCCTGCTTCCCAGAGCAATTGTGAGGGTCCGGTGAGTTCACAGGGGAGGACCTTCCCGGGCTGGAAGCAGCCTAGACATTTGGTGATACTGATTTTGATGCCACTTCTGGGAAGGGCACGAAGGAGCTTGGAAGGAATCGAGGAGGAGAGTCGGGAAGGCTTCTTGGAGGAGGTGGTATCTAGGCAGAGGAGCTAGCCAGGCAGGGAGGCGGTGGGGAAGGTGCTGCAGGGGAGGGAACCGGACACACAGGACCCCAAGGCTGAAGCTCCTGTGCTCGGGGAGCTGGTGGTGGTTCCGTGTGGCTGGAGTGTGGGCAGGAGGTGGTTCCATCGTGACCCCCCATTCAGTAATGAGCAGGTGTATGTCCCGTGAGCATGTGGACAAGTCTTGCCCCTTGGAGGGGTTTAGTCCCGTGACTGTAAGGCCCTATGAGGCCACGGGGGTGTCTGGGCCTTATCCCCAAGGGGTCGGGAGCAGGGTATGGATGAAGCGGTTTTGTTTCAAGCAGAGATTGCAGACGGGGGCTCTCTAGTTGGACCTGGCGGGGGGTGTGTGTGTGTGGGGAGGCTCTGTCTTCTGACTCCCAATTGAGATGAACCAACCTTGTATAGTTGGGGACAGTTTTGTGCAAAGATTTTGAGATTTGTGCAATCTTTTTGAGATTTCAGGCTGTTTTTGAGAACCTGCCCCACTCTGGGCCTGCATGTCCACATGGCACCACTGGCTGGGGGGTGGGGGGGCAGTGCGCTCCGGTCCTGGCCCACCCTCACCTGGCCCTGGGCCTCTGCATACCTGGTCACTTGCCTGGCCTGGCCCCCCTGAGCCCCTGCGCTCGAGGCTTCTGTCCCAGGTGATCGCTCTGACTGCTGTGTGCACAAGTCACGGGGGCCAGAGGCAGGAGACCCGTGGGGAGGCTGTCCACATCCGGGACGGGCCAGCAGAGGCCTGAACCGGGGTAGAGACGGTGGGAATGGATTCGAGTGAGCCAAGTGGCAGGGAGACGCGATCACCGGGCCGCGGGGTTGGATCAGTGGCTGGGTGGGTGGGGCGTCGGGGGGGAAGTCCAGGCTCTGGGCAGGAGGGGGCCCAGAGGGCAAGAGGGTAGACACCCGGGAAGGCGTGGGTGAAAGTGACAAATCACATGTTGGTCACTTGGAGTTGGAGGTTCTCGAGGGTCGTCAGGATGGTGGTGTCGGGGTCTGTACTAGGGGGTCCTTGCGGGTGTCCCCTGGGGACACCTGCGGTGGCTTCCAGTCCTCCTTGCCCGGCCTCGGGCTCTCCTGCCCCCCTTCCCGCCAGGGTTTGCTGGGGGTGATGGCAGCATTAGAATTGCTGAGGAGGGGATCCCTGGGTGGCGCAGTGGTTTGGCGCCTGCCTTTGGCCCAGGGCGCGATCCTGGAGACCCGGGATCGAATCCCACGTCGGGCTCCCGGTGCATGGAGCCTGCTTCTCCCTCTGCCTGTGTCTCTGCCTCTCTCTCTCTCTCTCTCTCTCTCTCTGTGACTATCATAAATTAAAAAAAAAGAATTGCTGAGGAGGACCGTTTTCCAAAAAGACCCACTCCACCAGCGCAGGCCCCACGGGTCCCTGCCTATTAGCGGGCGGAGCGGGCCTGGCCCCATTTGCCATGCTCTGACGAGCAGCGGGCTTAAAGGTAGGAAAGTCATAAATTAGTATTAGCTACTGTGTCGCGGGATCCCTGGTGATTAGCATTTTTATTGTTTTTTGGCACTGAGGTTGGTCACACTCGGAGCCCGGGAGGAGGCAGGGGCCTGAGCTCCCTCTCCCAGGACCCTCCTCGGTTTGGCTTCCGGAGCTGGGCGCTGGGCTGGGGGCGTCCCTCCCAGCCATGGCGGCGTCTGTCCCCTGCCAGGTGCCTGCCGTGTGTCTGGCACTGACCTAAGCACCCTGACTCGCATTAGAGCCATCACACACCAGCTCTGCTGGGGCGGGGGGTGGGGGGAAGGTTCTGTCTGGTTCCCAGATGAGGTGCACGGTTTGAGGTTGAGTCATGAGCACAGGTCCATGGCCGTGAGTGTCTGAGTCGGGACCCCTGGCCTTGTCTGCGCGTCTTGCCACCAAGCCTGGCCTTGCTCCTACCCCACGGGCCCCGAATATAGCCTGTCTGCTGCTGCCCCACCCTGCTCAGCTCCCCTCCAGCCCCGACCCTTGCTGTGACCCCCAGATCCCACCTGCTGGGCTTTGGGGCCCGTTCCTCCGGTAGGGCCTGCTCTCCAGCCCCCAAGGACCCTCACTGTCTCAGGGACCTGAGCCTCACTTCCTAACCCTCATCCTGTCCTCTGCTTGCAGCACCTTCAAACACCTGTGGAAGCAGGTGGCCCAGAACCTAGACCGGTTCCGCACCTTCCCACGCCTGGCCGGAGGTAAGGGTCCCTCTGCCGCGCCCTCCCTGTGGTGGGGTGGGCCTTGCAGGAGCCGAGCAGTGCGGGGCCCCAGGAGCAGAGCCGCAGCTGCACTGGATCCGGGGGCTTGTGTTAGGCGCTGGTGCCCCGGAATGTGCAATGTTTCATTCATTCAAATAAAATACGAAGCATCTCCGTAGGCACTTTCTGGACCCCAGGGTTGCCGTGATGGCGAGAGGTGCAGACCCAGCCCTCAGGCGCTTGTGTTCAGTAGCAGGAGGCAGATGGTGGACACAGAGATGATGCCACCGGGCAGTGACGAGGGGGCTGCGGAGAATTCAAGGAGGGAACAGGTGTGCAGAGGCCCCAGGGGGCCGTCGGGTGGCCCCTTCAAGGAGGGAGCCTCTGAGCTGAGACCTGAACACAGGGGGGAGGCCAGCCTCGCCAAGATCTGGGGGGCAAACTGTCGTAGGCGCCGGCCCTGTCCAGTGGAGCTTCCCGGGGTGAAGCAGATGTTTCGTGTCCGTGCTGGCTGGGCCGGTGGCCGGTAGCCACATGTGTCCGTCGGCGCTTGAAAGGCGGCTGGTGTGATTGAGGAAGAGAGTGGTTTGCTTTGCTTAATTTAAATTAACGTGAATGTAAATAGCCACGTGGGTCTGGCGGCGGCTGCATGACACGTGCACAGCCCAGGTGGGGGCCGAGGCGGGGATGAGCTTGTGTTGGAAGACACGGGGCCAGTGCAGGTGGCGCAGGGAGGCGAGGGCCGAGGGGCCCGAGAGCTCCGCGAGGCTCCATCCCACAAACACCGCTTGCGTAGTCCAGGAGGTTGCTGCGTTGGCGCAAGACAGATTCCTTGTCTGCGGGGGTTCAGAGCCTCTGATGCTCTCAGGGGCATCCTGTGCCTTCAGGGGAGGGTCTGATACGTGTTTCCCAAACTCTTGGGCTCACAGAACCCCATTGTTTGGGGAAAGAGCTGGACCCATGGGCGGAGGTGGGGGGGCGTCCAGGGTCACGCAGCCCAGCAGCAGCAGAGCTGGGGCTGGTGGTTCAGTGCTCGTGCTCCTGGGGGTGATGTGGGGTGCATGGGGGAGACTGGACCCCCTTCTGAGCCGGTGGGCGCTCTGATGGGGGGTCAGGGAAGGTGCACCCTCAGCCGGCTGTGGCGTCTCCAGCCCAGTCTGCCCTTGACGAAGTGGGGAGCGGGGAGCTATGCCCTGAGGGAGGGAGACCCCCACTTGCTGTCCCACACGTCCCAGCCTCAGACCCACTCTCTAGTGTCTCAGTTTTCGTTTTAATTTTCTATTTATTTAAGTAATTTCTACACCCAACATGGGGCCCGAACTCATGACCCAGCGATGAAGAGTCACACGTTCTTCTGACAGCCAGAGAGGCGCTTAGTTTTCTTGTCTTTAAAATGGGAATGATAATGGGGTTGCTGGGGGGCTTTAGTGAGACAAAGCAGAAAGTGCTTTTTTTTTTTTTTTTTAAGGATTTTATTTAATCATGAGAGACAGAGAGAGACAGAGACTCAGGCAGAGGGAGAAGCAGGCTCCATGCAGGGAGCCTGACGCGGGACTCGATCCCGGGTCTCCAGGATCAGGCCTGGGGCTGAAGGCGGCGCTAAACCGCTGAGCTGCCCGCAGAAAGTGCTTTTGAGCAGAGCCTGGCAGGTGGTTAGTGCTTTGTGACCGGCTCCTAATGTGTCACGGAGGGAGGAGACCAGGGCCCCGGGGGCTGAGCAAACAGGGAGGTGGCGTTTGCGGCCTTGGGTGTGGAAGAGGCGCCCGAGGAGTGGACCCCTCCCTGTCCTCTCCCGGATTAGGGGTCAGGAAGGCACCGAGGAAGCTGCGCCCGCCTCCAGGCCCGGGTTGGCTCCTGGGAGCCTCGGATCCTGGTCCTTCTGCCTCTGTGGTGGGAGCACCCCTGCCCCAGCCTCCGTTTCCCCAGCCATAGGGTGGGGATGGGTCTGGCCCGCCGGTGCCCCCTGTGACCCGGGGTTGGGGCTGCACACACCTGCGCACAGGTGCAGCCCCCCCAAGCCGGCTTCCTCACGCCCCTCCCCCTGCAGAGTGCGGGGGCAAGAACTTCCACTTTGTGCACCGCTCGGCCGACGTGGGCAGCGTGGTGAGCGGGACCCTGCGCTCGGCCTTCGAGTATGGAGGCCAGAAGTGCTCAGCGTGCTCCCGCCTCTACGTGCCGCAGTCGCTGTGGCCGCAGATCAAAGGGCGGCTGCTGGAGGAGCACGGCAGGATCAAAGTGGGCGACGTGAGTGCCTCTTCCTCCCCGCCGCGGCCCAGCGGGGGGCTGATGGGATTGGAGGCTCCTGGGCGGGGCGGGGCGGGCGGCAGGGGGTGCGGGGAGGGGCTCCCTTTGTCTCGGGCCTAGAGCCACTCCAGCTCTCTGCTGCCTCCCTTGCCTTCAGCCAACAGAGGATTTCGGGACCTTCTTCTCCGCCGTGATTGATGCCAAGGTACGGGATGCCAAGACGCAGGCCCTCTGGGGCCGAGCCCTGCCCTGGGTGGGAGGGGGGAGGCCCCGGGGGCCTTGACTGGGGGGCTCAGCCCCGCTGCTTCAGGCAAGAAGGTCCGATGGCCGCCCAGACGCCCCCAGCCCACGCCCGGAAAAAGGCAGACACCTCCTTGAGCAGAGGACTCGCTTCCCACACATCCTCCACCCAGGCTGGACGAGCCCCCGGGCGTGCACGTTCATATGCACACACAGATAGGCCTGCATGGCTGCAGCGTGAGCCCAGACATGCGTGCACGTGTGCGTGCATGCCCACGAACACACTGATATTGGTGTGTAGGCGTGCGTGTGGGTCACTCTCATAAACAGAGTAAACGGATGCACCTCGTGTGTGCACACACGTGTCCATGTGTCTGTTCATAGTGTATAGGCATGTGTTCACCACCTTCATACGTGCACACGTAGGTAGCACAGGTGTGCGTACAGACACGTACTTGTGACCATGCATGCGTGTACGTGTGCGTTCATGTGTGTGCTGTGTTTCTGTAAGTGTATTTGTGGTTCTGCCGCAGACAACACAGTCTCACACGAGTGTGCATGCACGCCTGCCCTTGCGTCTGCTGTGCCTTAGCCAGGCCCTGGCTTTGCCCCCCCACCCCCCGATTCCAGAGTGTCTGCCCTTGAGGGGACAAGTGTGTTGGGGGCGCTGCTGCTGGGAGTGGCCTCCCAGCCGGTCTGTGACACTCCTTCTCACACCCATCCCAGTCCTTCGGCCGCATCAAGAAGTGGCTGGAGCACGCCCGCTCCTCACCCAGCCTCACCATCCTGGCCGGGGGCAAGTGTGACGACTCTGTGGGCTACTTCGTGGAGCCCTGCATCGTCGAGAGCAAGGACCCTCAGGAGTCCATCATGAAGGAGGTGACAGGGGCGGGCAGCCTGGGGCCTGGAGGAGTCCCTCACTGGACTGGAGCGTGGGGCACGCGGGACCCTTGCACGTGGCTTCCTTCTGGTGGTGGTATCCCATTTCATAGACGGGAGTGTCTCGCTCCCAGTGAGAGCGGAGCCAGGCCTTGAGGTCAGCCTCCTGACCCCAAACCCAGTGCTCTGTCCTTGACACTGCTGACCCTGGTGGTGTCCTAGCACTTCCACTGTCCGTGGCCACCAGGGCCACTGTCCCCATCTTAGCTCTGGGCTGGCCACAGCTGGTCACTTGACTGGGAAGAGAGGGTGTCATCCCTCCCATTATACAGATGAGAAACTGAGGCTCCAAGGGGGTCAAAGCACCTGCCCAGGCTGGGGACAGTGATACTGCTGGGCCATTCCCTGCCAGCTGCTGCCGGAAGTCTTGCTCTGGGCGTGGGTTTGGCTTGCACGGTGTGTGTGTGTGTGTGTGTGTGTGTGTGTGTGTGTGTGTGTGTGTGTGTGTGTGGGGTGGGGGCAGGAGTTTCCTTGGGTCTTCGCCAGGTTGGGAAGCCCAGTGGGAGGTGCCTGGCCCTTCTGGCAGGTGCAGAGCTGGGGACGGGGGAGGGGCGGAGGCCAGAGCAGGGGATCTGGGGGCCTTGGGGCTCTGGTCCGGCCGCGGCCTGACCCTGGGGCTCCTGTCTCAGGAGATCTTCGGGCCCGTGCTGACCGTGTACGTCTACCCCGACGACAAGTACAAGGAGACGCTGCGGCTGGTCGACAGCACCACCAGCTACGGCCTCACGGGGGCAGTGTTCGCCCAGGATAAGTGAGCGCCGCGCCCTTCCGCTCCGTCCTGCTGTCCTGTGGCACCTGGCCCCGCGCCGCCCTCTGGACGGGGATCCCAGTACTCAGGCCGCCCCTGCCCTCACCTGCCCTGACTGGCAGGCAGGCAGCCCAGGCACCGGGCCGCAGAGGCCGCCGGGCTCTTTATTGAAATCCGGATTCTGGGGAAACTAGGTCTCTAGGGGCAGGGCTGCAGGATCCCCACTTTTGACCAGCTCCCCCGGGTCCGATGGGTCACTGCCTTGTGCTGCAGAGCAGAAGCCTTGGGCTCAACAAGGTCACTGCCTCGTGCTGCAGCAAGGTCACTGCCTCGTGCTGCAGAGCAGAAGCCTTGGGCTCCGGGGCCAGGGCACGGCGCCCGTCCTGCAGAGGCCGGATTTGAGCCCGGGTGCCAGGAGGCTAAACCCGAGACGTGGCTTTTCCTTCCTCCGCAGCACTAGCTCCTGCCACATCTAAGAGGGTGGAGCTGGGATTGGAACTCGGGGGCAGGGTGGGGGTCTGGGGGTTCCCTGGGTCCCCGGGGAGGGGCTGGGAAACTGGACGAGGACAGGCCACTGCTGAGTGTGTGCAGCGTGACCCCCATCCTGCCCTTGAGCTCCTGCAGCCGCCCTGCGAGGGGGCGTGCTAAGTAACCACTTTCCGGAGGAGGAGGGGGCGCTGAGGCCCTAGGAGCTCCCGGGGGGCCTAGAGCCTCTGGGTGGGCCCCGGCCGCTGGGCTGCCGGGGTGGGCTGGGCTGCCCTCGTGACGCTGCCCTGCCGTGTAGGGACGTCGTCCGGGAGGCCACCACGATGCTGAGGAACACGGCCGGCAACTTCTACATCAACGACAAGTCCACCGGCTCCGTGGTGGGCCAGCAGCCCTTTGGGGGGGCCCGAGCCTCTGGTGAGTGGGTCCCCCTTTCTGGAGGGGAGGCGGGTCCCTGGCAGGAGACTCTCGACCCCTCATGTCCGGGGTGTTCAGAGTAATAGGAACACTGGGAGCACTGGGCTAGCTCCGACCCCTTTCAACAACCTCCTGAGCTGAGGAAGGTACGGTGCTGCTTCCCATTTTACAGAGGGGTAAACTGAGGCACGGGGCGGTGGAGTGACTCAGGGGCACATGGCTGGGAAGTGGTGGGGCGTTTTGGTTTTGGCACCACGCGCTTTACCACCATGCTCCGGGTCACTTCCGTGCAACTCCTCCTGTTTACAAATGGGGAAACTGAGGCTTGGGGCAGGGCGGTGACTCAGCTGAGGTCCTAGAAACCCGGGCTCCTGGCTCCCCGTGCAGTGCTCTCCCCACAGTGCTCACGGGCCGGGCAACGGACCCGGGGAGCGAGGCATCCGGGGCTCCCCGCTTCCTGCCCCCCAACCTCCAGCTGAGTGCCGCACACCAGCGCCCCGGAAACCCTGGGCTCCTGAACAGGTTTAGTTCCCGTTGAGCCGCTTCCTGCGCGTGCTGGTGGTCCTGTCTCCTTTTCCCACCTGCTGCCCCTCCTGCCCGGAGCTGCTGTTACCTTGTCAGGGGAAAAACGGAGCTGTCTTTTCCACAGGAACCAATGACAAGCCGGGCGGGCCCCACTACATCCTGCGGTGGACGTCGCCCCAGGTCATCAAGGAGACCCACGAGCCTCTGGGCGATTGGCGCTACTCCTACATGCAGTGAGCCCCGCTGGGCGTCTCTGCTGTCCGTCCCCCTGTCTGTCCGGACGGCCGACCTTTGTGCACTGGCCCCACCCCAGCCCCTGCAGCTTGCTCCCCGGGGGACGACCCCCCCTCCGGGGCTGAGACCCGCCCCCTTACCCACACTGGGCTGTATCCTGGCCTGTCCCACCCCTCGGGGGCAGGTGCGGGCTCCGGTTTGAGACCATGCTGGGCAGGAGCACGGCTGCCACCCCTCGTCTCCCGGCTGTCCTAGAGATCTGCTAGGTGTGACCTGGCGCCCTGCCTCTTCCCCACCTGTCTTCTTTCCTCTACACTGGGCCCGGCAGCTTGGGGACCTGGGGAACGGCAGTAGAGTGCCTCCCAGGATCCTCTGGGGCTAAGGAAGCAGCTCTGGGCCCCCACGGTGAGCCTGAGCATCTGCAGAGACTCTTGGCCTTGGCTCCCCCGGGGCTCCAGGATGAGATGTGACCCAGGGTGGCCTGCAGGGCCCAGGGGTGGGGGCTCCAGTGGGCCTGGGCCTCTGGTGGGGGGCGGCTGCCCACCTTCCTCACTGCCTGTGGGCCCACGCCCGCCTGGGCCAGGGGTACCCGTGCCTGACCATATGCCTTAGAACCTGTGTGCCTTTCGCCTGCTGTCTGTGCTCTGCTGAGGCCCCTGTGATTCCCGGCAGTTGCCCTGTGGTGGGGTTGGGGGGCTGACAGGGGCTTCTCACCGAGCGCAGGACTTGGTGGTCCCTCCTGTTTGGGTGGTGGTTTTGGAAGATCTTGGGTGGGCCTCTGTGCGATCTCGGCTTTCCATCAGCTCGAGGCTCTACCTCTGCAGAGGCCGCACTCCCAGCCCGCCTTGGCCTGGGGTTTCCTGCGGGAGCTCAGTCCCCACTCACTGTTGGAACTGGCCCAGGGAGACTGCTCCCAGCTCCTCCCGGCCCCGAGACCTAGCCTTGGGTTCCCATCGGGCCTGGGCCAAGGATTGCCCGTAGAACTGTCCCTCCTTGCACAGAGGTGGCTCTGTGTGGACTGGCCCCTCGGTGGCCCATTGATGCAGCCAGTTGGCAGATACTCACATCAGCCTACTAATTGGATGGCAGGTGGCTGGGGATCCATAAGGGGTGACTTTGGAGGACAGTTTTTAATGGGTCCTAAGAGTACTGGCCCTTCCTCAGGGAGCTCCCCCATGGACTGGCCCCCGGGCACCCCGGCTGTGCACTGTGGCCCGTGGTCAGGTGGTAATGCTGCCCGGGCAGGGCATAGGGCCTGCCCTCCTCCAAATTCCTCACTGCTCCCCGGAGAGGCCAGGGCTGTCAGCCGGCGAGAGATGCTGCGGGTGTCCTGGCTCTACTGATCCTACACTGGAGGTGGCAGTCGGATTCACTCTGATGCCACCTAATAAACGCTTGTTACTGAATCACACTGGCCGTCTTTCTGGTGGGGGTGGCCGGGGCTGGCCAGCTTTTCCAAACAAGGGCTGGTATGTTGGCCATGGCCCTCGTTGTGATGGAAGGAAGGATGCGCACCAGGGTTTGGGAACACGTGCTGGAGGTCTGGGAACTCCAGAGTCAGGTGGGTTCAGATCTGGATTCGAATCCCAGCTCTCCGCCTTCCAAGAGTTGTGCAACCTCTCTGACCTTCTTTATCTGTAAGGTGGGGGTAGTAATGCACCCGTCCACGCGCACAGATCGTTGTGACATTGACTGAGCTGATTCATGTAATTGTTTAGAACAATGCCAGATGCAGAATTGATGATTCAGCCGGGTCACCTATGCACATACATTGTCGTAACAGCGACCGTCACTGTGCTGTGATGGCTAAGTTTGTGTGAAAACTTAGCTGGGCTGCGGTGCCCAGGTATTTAGTTAAACTAATTAAATCATTAAATATTAACTAAAATAATCTGAGTTATTCTGGATGTTTCTATGAAAGTGGTTTTTGGATGAGATTGACATTTCAATCTGCGGACTCCCGCGTAAAGCCGGTTGTCCTCCATACTGTGGGTGGGCCTCATCCAATCAGTCGAAGGCCTTAACAGGGCAAAGACTGACGTCCCTGTCAAGCGAGAAGACATTCTGCCAATGGACAGCCTTTGGGCTCAGCGGCGTCTCTTCTTGGGGTCTTCAGGCCTCTGACCTACTCTGCAGATTTGGCCTTCACCAAGCCTTGGCGATCGTGCGAGCAGTTCCCTTGTGATAAATCTGTGTGTACTCTGTTGGTTCTGTGTCTCTGGAGAACTTTTTCTCGCTCCCAGCAGCCCGGTGGAGTACATGCTGCCGTGCTCCCATTTTGCAGAAGAGGAAACCAGTGCGGGGGGTGAGGGGACTTGCCAAGGGTAAGGCCTATCCCTGGGACGTAAAGCCAAGTGTCTGTCCTCCCCTGAGATGTCCACACATGGCCCCGACCTGCCTTGGAAAGACCCTCAGCTGGCCAGGTGACGAGGAGAGCAACCACGGCTAGTCCGCTTGAGGCCAGAACCTGTGGCTCCAAGTCCAGTGGGCCGGCTGCCTTGGAGGGGAATCTGTCCTGGCCTGTCACCATCAGCTGCTCCTGCCGCGTGACACCTCCTTGTCCCAGATCCCGTTGATCCGGGCGATTGGCGCGCAGGATCTCAGAGCTGTGGGGAGGGGATGGAGACTCCACCATTGCAGTGCCCCCACCTGGCTGATCCAGGGGCCGCTAGTGATGGGTGCAAGAGGGGGGCTACCCTCAGCGGCAGGGGGCAGCCCCCAGAGGGCCCAGGCTGGAGCTCACAGGTGGGAAAGGTGGCGGCTGTGTTTATAGAGGATGTATAGGGCCCCTCAAGTGTTTCTGAGCAAATGGGGCCATCTGCTCAAGGTCACACTGACAGTCGCAGAGTTGGCTTGGTCTACGTGGTCTCGTCGAGCCTGGCGTTGACCTTATTGGCTGTTAGCCGCTTTCTATGGAAGGACTCGTAGAGGTCACGCGGCTGGTTGGGAGGAGGGCCGGGGTTTGAACCTGCAGTGGGTGCCCACAGCCCATGCTCCCTGCCACCTGCTTCATCGGGTCCCCGATTTCCTGCTGTTCCTCTTCCACTGCCTGCCCCCCCCACCCCAACCTGGCACCTTTGCCTGCATTTAACTCGGGTGGTTGGGGGGGTGGGGGGCTCACAGCCGTTGCCCCTCTGTTCCTCTGCTCTCATGCCCCAGGCTTGGGACTGGGGGCTCCTGAGGGCCCGGTGCCTGCCCTCTTTGCATGGCCACCGCAGTAAGTGCCCGTGTCCGCGGTGGCCCAGGGAGCCTCTTCATTTCCCTGCTGTGGTCGGGGGCCCGGCCACGGGGCCGGGCTCGGAGCGTGAACCATTTGACTGAGGCCGGATGTCCCTGCCATCGCCGTCCCTGCGGGCTGCCAGCCGGGCATGCATTCTAGGGAAATGAGGGGCCACCTGTGCCACCTCCTGGCCTCCAAGCCAACCCAGAGCTCCTGGGGGGCTCGAGGAAGAGGCAGGGTGGAGACCCAGCCTCTTTACATGCGTGTGTCTTTGTGTTCGTTGATCCACTGCCACGCACGTGGGCGTGGTCCCTGTGTGGGGTCCCCGCCTGTGGTTGGAGCCACATTACGCGGGTGCAGCTTGTGGGTCAGGCATCGTGCCACGTCTCCAGAGCCTCACTGCAGGCCCGGAGGGTGCCCTGCTCCTCCCCTTTTACAGCTGGGGAGACTGAGGCATGGGTGGGTGAACTGGGGCGCCCCCAGGAGATGATCCCCATCTCTGCCTGCCAGGCCTTTGCCCACAGCAGCACTCCGCAGCACACACCAGGCAGGCCCGGGCTCAAGTCCCGTCTTAACCCCCGCTTCCCTGAGCGTTGGCTCCCTCTCCTGCCCTCAGACCTGACATTCCTCAGGGAGCTGAGGCTCGAATGGCATGTGCCAGGCCCCGTGCCCTGCTGATTGAGGTGCTCAGGGAGTGAGAACTTGTCATCTTCATCCTGTCCTCACGCCTTCATCCCGGATGCCTGTGCCCAGGAGGGACGAGACGCCAGGCATCACCGAGCACCTGTTCCTGGGCCAGCTGCTCCCGCCCGTTACCTTGGACCACACGGGCCGGTGAGGGAGGCGGTATTATTTTAGCCCCGTTTCCCAGATGAGGAAACAGGCCCAGGGAAAGAATAGCTGCTCAGTAAGGGGGTAGGGGGCAGAGCCTTTCCCCGTGGCCATACCAGCACCCTATCGTCCCTTGCAGGAACCCAGCAGCTTCTGGGTGGTAAGTTGAGGCCCGGCTGTCACTGCGGCTCCAAATGCCCGCAGCCAATCTCGACTCCCTGGTGAGGTGGTTGGCACACCTTGGGTGGTGGAACGGGAGCCCCCCAGCTGCCCAAGTGCATCAGAATTCTGCTGAGGGCTTGGCCCCGTCCTCCGTCCAGGCCCCAAGTCCCCAGGCTGTTGCCCTCAGCCCCTGGGGCCCTTGGCACTGGCCGGGGCAGAGCGAGGGGGCTGAGGTTCTGTTGGGCATCTGCCCGTGATGAGCATCCAGGTGGGCATCGGGACAGAGCAGGGCTCGGGGGTGGGGGGAGGGGGACATGCCCGGGGAGCACTCACAGCCCGTAAGTGGCAGAGCCTGGATTGGCATCCAGGTGGGACAGATCTGAGCCTTAGGAAGAAGCCTTGTCCAGGGTCCAGACCCCAGGCTTCTATCGGGGTTAAATCGAAGCACACCGGGCCAGGTCCGTGCCAGGTCCGTGCCAGGAACAAAGCCATCCACACCGTAGTGTGTGGTAATTGCCATCACTCATTGAGCAGATTGCTGACCTATTAATCTCATTTCCTCGGCCTCATTGAGGGTGGCTGTGGCCATTTCCTAGGCAAGGAAGCAGAGGGGAGTCCTGGCCCCCAGCCCCTGGGCTGCGCTGGGCCTCAGAGCCCCGGGGAACAGGACCGCCCCCTCCCCATCCCAGTCCCCATCCCAATCCCCCATCCCAGTCCTTCATCTGCTCCCCAGGGGACACGGTTTCCGGTTCTCTATCCACCCCTTTGCCTCCTCCAGGGGCCACACAACCCGCTCTACTTTTGACTTGTAAACGTCTCTCGGAGGAGTGACTGGTGAGGCTGGGGTCTCCGAGGACTGGCCCTGAGGCCTCCCTGGTGACCCTCCTCTGAGCTGTCTCTGAAGCAGGCCGGCCACCTGCCTGCCTGACCTCCCTAGGTGTGGGGGTCCCGCCCACCTGCCCCTGGCCCACCTGAGCCAGATTGGTGCTAGGTTTCCAGCTGCCCAATTTTGCCCCCGAGGAGGCAGCAGAGGGAGGAAAGGAGGAGGAGGGGAATGCTGCCAGGGTGCGTGGGAGGGGGCCTGGGGGTGCAGAGCAGCAAACGGACGATGCCCAAGTGGGTAGAGAGATTGGAGGGTCAGGCGGAGGAGAGGAGCCCCCAAGTCCCGGGGTCAGGCCGCTCTTCGGGGCGCCCCCTGTGCTCCATCCACTCTAAGCACCACGGCAGGGGGAGGAGGGGGCTCAGGGCAGCTCTTCCAAGCCCAAAGCAAATGTGGCCAGTTCCTTTCCGTGAGCACCCGTGGGGCCGGTGGGGGGTCGGGGAGCAGATGCAAGGCAAATGGGCAGCTTTTCCTGACCCCCTTTTCCTCTGCCCCCCCCCAAAGTGCTTTGCATAAGCCTCTCGTGGCTCTCTGCCATTTAGGCCGCCAGTGGCCACGCAGGTGTGAATGTGGGGCCCAGGGCCTGCGGAGGAGCCTCGAGAATCAAGCCTCGCGCTCGGGGATTGAGTGGGTTTGTCCGGTGCGTGCATCAGTGTCCGGGGCTTTCGTCAGGATCTCAAAGAGATCCTTGCCCCTGAAAGGTGAGGAGGCACTGAGTCCATCTTACAGCTAGGGAGACTGCAGCCCGGAGACAGGCCGTGACTCGCCCAAGGGCGGTCGGGGCAGGGTGGGCCGGGAAGCCAAGACTCCTGACTCTCTGTCCAGTGCTCCTTCTTCAGATGTTGGTCTTCAGAGAGATCGTCCTTATCGAGGGGGCCCCGTATTCCTTTCTCATTGGAACCTCTCAGGAGCCACCTCTCCCCGCAGCCCCCATTGGGGTCTTGGATTTCTCGGAGTCACATACTTGCTGTGTGGCTTTGGAGAAGTGACTGTCCGTCTCTGAACCTCACCCTCCTTATCTGCAAAGGGGAGACGTGACAGGAGCACATCAGAAGGCAGTGAGGATGAAGTGGGATGACGGGGACGGAGAGGGCTCCACTCAGCGCCCGGCACGCCGTGAGCCCTCAGAGCACATGAGCAGCGGAAGTGACCATGTGTATCGCCACCATCGTCCTCCCAGGCTTTGAGACGTGGATGCCGTGTCCCTGTGTATCCTGGCTCTGCCGCTCGGGCCCCGATGGTGGGCTCACCCGTGCCTGCTGGGTGAATGGCTTTCTCAGGCTCCCGCGTCTACAGCTCGGGGCATTAAGTGC